CGTAGCGTCGTCGTCTTTGTTGGTCGTGAGCTGCCAACTTATACTTACTTTTTGGGCAGCACGACATCCAGTCAAAACCAGGACTGGGTTTCATTTACTTAAGCTACTTTTTATAATTTCTCAACAAACCTATTCTTCCTCCGTCCGTGGTGATGATGATGGAACGAAGAAGGAGCTGTATAACTCTAACCAACCAACAAGGACATGTACAAAATATAGCAAAAAAACACGACGCAAATTCATGGGGGAATTGTTCTATTAAAAAACAAACTGGGAAATGGAACGGGTCATAAAATGCAGGCGTCGTTTCTATTTCTTTGTTGTGTGCAGAGAGAGAGAAAACAATGCTAACTGCGAGTCTATATTGGTATTGGTAGGTATGAAGATATAATTGTGGACATTAAAGGAAAATGAAGTGAAATAGGGGCAGAAGCAGCAGCAGAGCAGCATCTTCTTGGGTATAAATATTATGTGATTCTTAGGAGGGGAGCTTGCGAGGTTGATAATAACAGATCCTGATGCCCTTTGGATATGTGGTAGGGTCCTATGAGTGTACTAAAACCCTGAAGTGGTTTAACTCCATGGCCATATTTGCGCCCGCCACACCCACTCAAAAATACCCAAAAAACGCTTTCACTCCAGTTTTCACTCACTCAAAACCTCGCCAAAAATCCAATTTTACTCGGATTTTAAAATTTCTTTCACCATTACACTCCCAGATAGTTGCTTTCTTCAATCCAATATCAAACTCAATTTTGCTGATGATTATTTCGCAGGGATAATTTGCGTTGTTGATGACTACAACAATGCTCATTCAGAATTTTAAATTTTAAAAATACTAAAAATTTCGAAAATATTGAGTTTGATATTGGATTGAAGAAAGCAACTATCTGGGAGTGTAATGGTGAAAGAAATTGCAAAATCTGAGTAAAATTGGATTTTTGGCGTGGATTTGAGTGAGTGAAAACTGGTGTGAAAGCGTTTTTTGGACATTTTTGAGTGGGTGTGGCGGGCGCAAATGTGGCCATGGAGTCAAACCACTTCAGGGTTTTAGTACACTCATGGGACCCTACCACATATCCAAAGGGCATCAGGATCTGTTATTATCAACCTCGCAAGCTCCCCTCCTTAGGCTATTTCGTCCTGCGAAAATGGGACGTTGCCCTCATTATACAATGTGTTAAGAGGTAAAGTACGGGTGGATTTGTGCCGAGCGTGGCACATTTAGCGACATTTATGTTCCTGCACCGTTCCAGATATAAAAAAACGATATGCCAAGTCGGGGCACGTTTTTCTCGGAACGATTAAAAAATTAAGCCGTCATCTTTACGATAACATTGCCATTATGAAGCGGCGGTGTGCTTTTGAAGAAAAAGAGGAGCGGGCAGGTGGCGAGGTCTGAACTTGTGGTGTGTGTGTGGTCTGATTTACTTGATACCTCTGCACACTACATGCGGGGACAACAATGCCAATATGAAAACTTAATGATAATAAATCATTCAGACAGCAAAACAACACTTTGTCCATTCGCATTCCTAGCGGCGTGCCACCGTCTTGTACGAATAAGTGCGAAAGAAGGGAGAGAGAAACACGTAAAGTGGTGGTCAAACAATTTGCAATCAATAAATCAATCAGTCACTTTAAATAGTCAATGTTAGACAAAGGCGAATGCCGGAATATGCCCGAGTTTTCATCATATCTACTTTTACTCCCACTTGGCTCACTCGGATGGAATTATATTCTTTCAAGAATAAAACTTGCTTGGTGTGGGATTGAACAATGTATAAGGAACAAAGTTTAGTCAATAAACCATTTTGGCTTTTTTGGTTTGTAAGCGACTATAAATTATCCCAGCCAAAAATCACTGAATTGACAATTTTCCCAGTTTTTTTTTCTTTCTCAAGTCAAAGTCAAAGAAATAATCCTTTCCCGAAATGACTTTCCCAACCAGCAGCCTTCATTACATGATGAGATGACATCTCCTTCCCAAGAAGAAGAAAATCTCACATTTTCCATGTTTATTTTAGCATGAAGTAAAGTTCATTTCACCAAAATAGAAAATCTGGAGAAAGGGAGGGACATTTTTTGTGTGCTTACATAGTTTAGTTTATGGACAAATCGACCCATCCCTTTATTCCATTTATTTGATCTACCATTTCCACTTGACTCGCATTTCTTGCATGTGAGTGTGTACACTATACTTACCACGGGATCACTATACATGCACGACATACATACTTTGTGGTTCACTTGAGAGATAAAAAATGAATACGTGAGACACGGCCAGAAATAAATATATTTTCTTTCCACTTTTACTTGACATCAGCGTGACGTCTTGGTTTTTCCTTTCACTTGACCAAATTCGTAATACGAAACAAACCATCTCACTCGAGGATAGATTATGTCAAACCTAATTTCAACTGCAGAAATTTCTCGTATTTACCCACCTTTTAATAGCAAGTGGTGGTATGTAAATATTTTGTCTACACATCAGGCCGTATATCCCACGAGACGAGACAATGAAAGCTCGTGGAGTAAATGTGTATCTAATTCAATGGGAAAACTGAGATTGATTTGTTTATGTCGAAAAGGACAGCAAACTTTCCTCTGATGTTCGCATTTCTCCCCAATTTCGTAATCCCACTTTCACTCTGAAAGGTGAGTGTTGTATGTTCCCGAAACCTTGGACGACTCGTTTCATATTTGCCAATACTACCACTGAACGTTCTCCAGATGAGATGTGGAATTATTTATTTATCCTTCTGTCTTTCTTCTCGTGGGGTGGTTTACCTTAAAAATCGATAAAAACTTGGCATACGTCTATTTACATATTTCCCTCCTGCCATTTATCCGTCGTCTCCACCCTCCCTCCAACCTCCTCCTCCTCCTCCACCTGTCTCAACCATTATGCTTCACATCCTTTAAAATATGCATAAAACATACAACTCGTAATCGCACCCAGTCATCCGTCCGTCACGACTTGTATAACATGTTCTCTCATCCAAACTTTCCAATCACTTTCACTTAATGGCATGTTTGCTAATCGTTTCATTCTCCGTTTAATGCATTGTTTAATACAGGAGCTTTTCTCCGGTCTAAAATTGGAGCAGCCAGCGTCAAGAATGTACGTAAATCGTGTAGTAAGTCGTAGGAGCTACTAGAGTAGCAACGTTTGAACGTTTCAATTCCATCGACCCATCACTTTTCATTTCATTTGTTGTGCACAGACAGCGAAAAACTCATTCAAACTCTCTTTCTCTCTTTATCTCTGTGCAGTTTGAATGAGATTTCGTCTCTCTCTCGCGAGAGAGAGAGAGAGAGACGAAAGTCCATCCATTACAAAATTCCAACCAACCAACTTCGCTCGTTGACAAATCAATTATTTACAAAGGGCAGTGGTAGTGCTGCTGGTACAAGCGTTATTATTGCTCTCTCTGGTTTGTTTCACTAAGGGAATGAGAGTAAACATGCTGTTGAATGAATTATGATAACAAGGTGGACTAATGATTAGGGGTTGCAAATTCCGTTCACATTTTTGAAATTCGTATTTAAATCAGTTTTAGAAATTATTTAAATCCAATTCAAATTGTTGGTATTTAAGTAATTTATTCTACATTTATGCTTGGACTAATCGTGAGTTGTATTCAAAACTGTGGTACTAGAAGAATACTTGTGTACCTATCACCATCAGATTTTGATTCCCTTTGGATGTGTGGTAATACCCGACGAGCTTAAAAATATGAAAACGAGTAATTTTTTCTTTAATTTAAACCTTTATCAAAAATCTAGTTTTGTAGAATTTTAAAAATTATTCCCCCAGATAGTTGTCCAATTAGACTTTTTGGAATTTTGATTTTCCAGACAAATTTCAAGACAGTTGAAGAAATTTAGGAAAATATCACACAAACCTAAATTGAAGTTTGATATTCGATATTATAACCATCTAGGACTACACTGGTGCGAGATTCGAAGCATTAAAAATCCGAAGCCTCCGGATAATTCGAAATTTGAAAACACCGGATTTGCAATTCCTACTAATGATAATGAGTCATTCTATTTTCGGGTAGAAAGAGAGACTGCATTCGCCTCGATGAAAGATTCACCCAAGAAATCATGCAGTGAGGTCTATTACTAATTTTAAGATGTGAAATTAGAACTGAACTCATCTCTCTGTCTCTAATCTGGGCAAGATGAGGTGGCTAAATTGGCAATCAAATTTCGCGATGGTTTCATCAAAAAACAATTTAATTTTACCCATTTGCATCAGAATTTCGAATTATGTGGTTGGCAGCTTGTGGAAAGAGAGGAGATGGAGAAATTATGTATGTTGGTGCATATTGGTCTCTCATAAAAAGGTAAACCACATTAAAGGAAATCATTGCAGGAATTGGAATTATTAAATGAGAGATGTTCCCAAAATCTAGGAAATCTCTCCTTGATTTCTCATCCTCGTCCCCACTCTTCTCCCTCCGATAAATGTTTCCCATTCCATACAACAAAAATTCACATAATAAAATAGAGTTTTCATAACGAAACAATTTCAATCCTATAATAAACCCTCGCTTTACACATCATTCCACGATTTGCTTTATGGTGGTAAAAATTCAACACATTTTCTCCCAAATGCTGGCCCAATTTTGGTTTTGGCTGCATAGTCGAATTCTCATTTCCTATCCTATTTCAACCTTCGCATTAGTTCAAAAGGAAGGAAAGTAAAGCAAGAAAATCGTTCCTAAAACTAAATAGAACTCGAGCTTTTGACTGGAGAGTGAAAATCAGACCAGAAAACCTCTCTTGCCTGGTTTGATGGCGTCTCATCAAACTCAATATTGTCTGTTTCTGATACGATGCTTTATTTCTATTCTTGGAGAAAACAAATAAAATAAAAACTACTACCATCTATTTCTGCTCGACTTTTTATCCCCGCGCGTCCCAAAGGAAATGACTGAACCGTCGATAAGAGTTTGGAATAAATAAATAAAAATTTCTTTCAATTTCAGACTAGATTTGAAATCAAAAAGGGAATCTTCTTCCTGAGAACGTGTGTCTTTGTGGACGACGACGATGCTGCGGGGGGGATGACGACGTGGAGGTGGTGAGGACGATCCCGTCGATTGGTGGTGCATGTCGAGAAAGGATGAGCAGAGCTTTCACTTGGCCATATGACGTCTCTTCCTCCGAACACGAACGGATGGAATTCTGCCCGTAGCAATTTCACTAACTTCTCTGCTGCTCAGGTACAAGGAGATTATTTTAATGTGGCAACAATTTACGTTACAGAAGGAGAACGTGCCTCCTATTTAATAAGTCTGTAATCATTAACTTTCTCTTCTTTGGCTCCCTCCAAATTTCTTGCTGTTCTATCGCAAAATTCAATTTTATTCTTATTCCGGGGCAAGACACACTTCGATAAAGTTTGCGGAGTCTCAACAACTTGATAATGATCCGTGTATGTGCATGGAGAAAGAAGATCTACGACAACTTTTACTTATTCCTTTCCCTCCTTCTTCTTCACGGTGACGGATTGGAACACAACTTTTCTTTCTTGTGTGGCATCCTCGTTATTCTTTTTGAGAAAACTTTTTGAAAAGGAAGAATTAACTTGACATACATATAGTTGAGTCGTCGTCGTCGTGTATGTGGTAGCACGTTGCTGGGAAGAGAGAGGGAATTTATCATCGACATCCATCCATTCCATCGCGTGGTGCCGTAATGTGGTCACCTTTTTCAGTCCCTTCAATCATGCCGAGGAGACGAATCTGATCTCACCAGCGACTGCTAGCACCACTTTCCTCTCAAAATCTCCATAACTGGGAGTGAGTGATGCGAGGACCTTTCCTTCCTTCACTTTCTTGTTGGAAAGCAGAAATCGGATTACTTTTACCTCTGCTATCATGAAAGGAGGAGAGCTTTGCTTTGACCTAACTGACACACATGGGGAACATTATTGGCATTTTTCGATTTACGTTCAACCCTCGCGTTTGACTGACACCTACTTTTCTTTGAGATAAAATTGTTTTCCTTCAATTTTTGTAAACCAGGAAAAGGAAAGTTGTGTTATCTTTGCTGGAGGAGTCAATAAGTATGCGAAATGGTCGATGCATGTTCGTCTCTGAATCTCAAGGAGTGGGTGAGCAAAGTCAGAAAGTGAAGATGAAACAAAAGTGAACAAGGGATAAGATAAATTCAGTACGAGATGCGAACTGGAGGCAATTTCTCTTCAACTTTTTCTTCGTGCATCTCTAATTTCTTCTTTGCTTCATCATGTCGAATCTACTGAGGAAATTAAGACTTGAGAAATTACACGTAGGAGGAAAGAAGACTGCATGTCGTCCCGTGATGAAAAATCGATACCACTTTTTGAAACGAAAATAATGTGTCCAGGACTTATCCATGCAGAGTGAGTCGTCGTCGTCGTCAGTCACACACGACACTTCCTGAGCAGGTGGCCACGACATGACGTGAGGCCCATCCAATGCAGATACATGCAAGTTTTGAGATTCCTTTCTCGGTTTGTGGACTCACACGAAGGGAGGAAATTGCACCTGTCTCTTTCTCTCTCGTGGCCATAATCGAATTCGAAATGGCACTGCTGCACTGTGGGCTTGAGATAGAAGAGGGGACAATTAAGAGAAAGTTGGGATTGATTTTTTTGTATAGTAAAGTTACCTAATTTGAATTTAATATTTTTCCGTCTTTTCTCTGCCCAGGTCAATTCATCCCAATCCACCACCACCACCACTACCACAACTAACACCAATTCTACAACTCCATTATCCGTGGAGGAGACAAACAACAACATGAAAGTGACACTTGAACGCGTCCCCCCGACTCGTGACCCAGTGCGAGACGAGTATTATTCCCATTATTCCTCCCAAACTGGGATCAGGATCGCCACCACGCTCGGATCCTTTTACCTCTTCGTGCTCCTCACCCTGCTCTACAAGTCGAAATGTAAGAAGCACTCGTCCCGAAGTCCGACTCCACTGCCAGGTCCCCTCCTCCTCCCCCCGTGCCAACCACCCCTGCCACCCATGCCTTCCACCTCGGCCGACATCCTCCACCACCACCAAGTCTACCCATACACGAGTAGCAACAATATGGGTGGAGGTGGCAGCATCAGTAACAATCATCGCCCCTCTTCCTGCTACTCTCGCCCCCACCCTGCACTCCTCCTCACCTCAGCCAACTCCTCCTCCTCGGATGAAGACTTGTCCTCCTCCACCAACAAGCCCCTGATGGGTCCCCGTTTCCTCCAGTCGGGCCACGGAATTGTGACCACTGTCAACGGGAGGAAACAGAGCATCGACATTCACGTCATCCTTCCCACCCCGACAATCTCACCGAGTAGCAGTGAACACTTTCGGCAACAGGAGCAACAACCCCATCATCATCCTTACTATTTGGGCGACGATACGAGGAGATCCTCCGCCACCTCGTCGATAGGAACGATCACGACATATTCAGCAGGGTCTGGACACCCCTTCACTTTTCCTGATAATCTTAAATATGTGGATGACACGAGTAGTGAAAACATTCCAGAAGTGCGAGACAGTGGTGATGACGATGATGCAGAGGATCAAGGTTCTCTGGGATCGGATTCTGTCTTCATGTGTTGTGAACCTCCACCACCCCCACTGCTGCCCAAGAGGCGTCCCTCAGCCAGCCCGAGTAGTTACTATTCAGGGTTGGATGAGGAGTGGAAGGTCACCCTGACGCAGGCCAGAGCACAAGTTCATCATCGCGACTCCTTTACGTCAGATATAGAGTCGGTAAATGACTATTTGGAGGGCGGTGGGAGTGGAGGTGGGTCCGGGTCAGAGTGCAATAGTAGGAGACGTTCTTCTTCGACACAAACGACCATGTCGGATCTGCAGCATTGCTTAGGATTAGCATCTGCAATGGGTATGACTACCAATGCGACTACGAGGACGCCATCCCCCCGGCTGAGTCCGCATCATCCCCACCACTTTATGAGCTTGAGACAAAGTCCGGTCCAATTTCTAGGCGTCGCACAACCAACATCGGGAGGTGGAGGGAATAGTCCTCGAGTTCGTGGAGGCAGAAAGAGATCAGTCGACGCTTTACTCTTGGGCTGGAGAGAGCAACAAATGCAACAACAGCAGCAGCAGCAGCAACAAACTACTCATCACGGGAGTCGGTTCCTAGCTTCAGTAACTCCCACGCTAGACCAACGTCGAACTTTTGAACTCGTGGTGGATCCCGATAAATGAATATGACCAAAAATTTAGACATTTTTTGAAACCACAATTCTTAAACCCGTTTAAACTTTTTCCTGAAATACCTTCCCAATAATTTTCACACACTGACCTGAGTAGGAAAAAATATATGCGTGCATCTTAAGACAATCACTTTAAGCATGAGGATTTCGATATAAAAATTATTAATTGTGACCAAAAGTTGCCACTACATTAAAAAGATGAAAGTAAAGAAACAAAGAGTATTTCTATACCTCTGGATAGAAAAAAAATTGAAAACACTATTCAAAACCAATACTCAATTAATCAGTAGTAGAAAAAATTAACACTAAACATAAGAAAAATAGTTCCATAGAAAAATGGTGTAACTCTCCGTATAGTCACGACAACTGTGTTACTACGTTACATTGAGGATGAGATTGGGGGCATAAGTTATACAGATTAATATCAGTAATTAATTAATTAAATGATGTCAATTCCCTTAATTAATAATGACACTTTCCCCTTTACTTTTAATTTAATCATATAATGCACGTGTACTTGTACTAACTAAATTGCATTAATTCTGCTGTTGTACTCATTTCTATTCTATAATTATATATGACTCCCATTACATTAAATATGTACGTAGAGGATTTCCTGACAAGAATGTTAAACAAATATATGTATGTGTATATGCATGTGCATATTGTGTATGGTGAAAAATGATGGTGCGAACATGTAATAAACCGAGTTTTTTTATACTATAGAGGAAATAATAAAGTATGATAAAAAGATCTCTTTCTGCACAAACCTCGTCCATCTCGTCTTCTGGGATGACGGAGAAAGCAGCTCTCAAGTATGGGCAGTGATCTTCCCTCCTGGCCATAAACTCTCGGCCGGGCAACAACATAATTTTCTCCCCGATTCCACGCTCCATCACCATCTCGTAAGTGTCCTCAACGTGAAGCATTCTCATCCAGAGGAACATTCCTCCTTGAGGTAGATTCCACTCGGCGAGGCCTTTTTTTATTAAAAAAGAAGTCGGACATTGTAATAAATGTTAAAACGATTTCGCAAAATGTGGGACAAATTTTCCGTTTTTTTTCTTCTACCTTTCAAATGCTTCTCTACCGATGCCACCATCAAGTCTCGTCTCCGTTTATAGAACTGCTTCACCTTTGTCGTGTGGTTGACAAAGCCATGAATCCCCCACGATTTTAGGATTCCGTGAACTAAAACCTGAAATACGGGAATATTTTAAGCAGCTCAACATGTGGTGGTGACTCAAAATGTCAAAAGTATATACACGAGTGGGAAATATTTGTACAAAGCCCCCCACCTGCGAAAGTGACGAGGCGTGCAGGACTGAAGCTTGCAAGGAGAGTTCCAACACGCGAATCAACTCTTTCGGCCCTGTGGCGAATCCTACGCGAAGTCCAGAACTTAAAACTTTAGAAAATGAGTCGAAACGGAGCACACGTCCATCAACGTCGAGGGAGAGAAAGGTTTCCGGATCTTTCTATAAGCGCGAGTGAAGGAGAGAGATTTCATTTTAGTAGCAATGTTTACAAGTCCTTGTAAGTAAGCACCTATATGAAAAGTTACATACATCAAGGAAGTGGAGAAAGTAGTAAGGATCGTCTTCCAGGATGAGGAGGTTGTGTTGTCGAGCAATTTCATAAATTTGGCGTTTTCTCTCACTTGGAATCACAACCCCACTTGGGTTGGAGCCTGTCGGATTGACGTAGAGTAGCTGAAAAGTAGGAAAATTCAAATCACACAATCGTGGTAAGAAATTCAAGACACGATCGGAATGATTTCACAGAAATATATATATTTTGTGACAAATAAATATGTAGGTACTGAAAAAATGATTATATCATCGGTCGGTGTGACCACTAGTGGTTTACATGAAGAAGTTGACGAAAATCCAATCTCGACCTTCTTTCTTTTCTCCTAAGTATTTCTATCCGGGCAAACATTACACAAAAGAAAGTCAAGCTTCTGCATCCTTGACATTCAGACTCAATTGAAATCCCGTCGTCATTGTCATCCCATTGTCAAGAATATAGTCGATCCGATCCAAGAGAAGAATCAGATCATGTGGGGTCACGTCTTCTCCAACATAACCAGATCTTTTTCTGGTAATAAAACTGCGCGTCTTTGTGGGACTTTCTCCCCCTAGCCAATTCTAATACGTAACTCTCTCGTCATAATATGTACGTAATAATAATCTTCTTAAGAGGATTCTATGTCGGGTATTGCTCCCCCGTTATCCAACTTATGTATAAGTATATCTCAATTTAGCTAACCTTCGGAGTCTTCCCTTTCCAATTGTTCAGGACTTCTTTCAGTAGGTGTGGTTGCATTCCATCCGCATCTTCTGGAACTCCCAGGTATTGCGGGCGATGTGGATCCATCTTATATAAGCATAGATTACTAGTTTTCATAATTTTCATAATTTGACGAAGCAGTATTAAATTGCTTCCTTACGAGGGAAAGTACACTGCTGTACACTGGCATGGGCACAACGACGGCATCCCCTGGTTCCAGTATCATTTCCAGAACGGAACACAGCGCATTTTGACTCCCCACGGTGACAATTAGTTCAGAATCCGACATTTTGGGAGGATTGAAAAAATGCTGGACAAGCTTTTTTAGTTCGGCGTGTAATGGAGGATATCTGATTGGAATGGGAGTACTTACATTTTATGAATTGCTTGTATATTGGTGATTTTATTGCTCACGCACCCCGACGTCGGTTGGTATTGAAGAGCTGCTCTCAACGCGGTCTGGTCTAGGTTTAACTTGGTTTTGGAGTCCAATTCAACGGTGAGAGATTGAAACGGAAACAAGGCCGGGTTTGGGAGTCCACCTGCCATGAAAATGGTCCCCGGTGGCGCTGTGGCCAACATTTTTGCTGTGACCAAGATTCACAGGAAGGTAAATTAGTTGAAAAACTACTTTCATGAGAAAGGAAAGTTGGCAATGTTTCTGCCAACTTGGATATTTAGAGCAGGTGCTTGATTAAAGTCTAAAAACTTGAGTAAAACTTAAGGCTGGGCTTTGTTCTACACTTCTTAAAAATAAGGCACCCCAATGACATGACGCCAAATTTTCGACATGGCCAACAAACGCCATGAAAAGAAAAGTACATGGTTTCACACGGAGGGCAAAGCAAGTCCCGGGAAGCAAAACTCTGGTATGGAATACAGAGTTTCTTACTTCAGAAATTTTTTGTTAGAGTTTCAAAATTGAATCCGTCATCTAAATTTTACTGTCACTATTGTAACTTATCATTGATAACATTTCTATTTGACTGACAAGATAGGCGATATAATTAAGTTCTTCTTAACGGAATAACCTTTGTGTAAGTTAAAGATTTTGAATAAATTTTACCCGGTCTTAATTATTGATAATTGCAGAGATAATCTATTGATTTATATATTTTTATAAGTTTTGTACTTACTCATCTCTCTGATAAGCGAAGGTTTTCTCAGTTTTCCAACAGTATTTAAATAGCTTTGATAATCGATGGTTTTGGTTTGCGAAGAAGTTTTTAAATCACTTGAAGTTGAAAACATGTTGAATTGTTGCACTTTAAGAATTTTAACACAAGCAATTTTATTACAGTTATAATCCAGAATTATCTCTCGTAATGAGCGTATCGATGTGGTTTTGATTAGACTCATTTTTATGTTTGTGAGATTAATTGGATTGATGATCCAAAAGTCGACTTGGCCAAAACTAATATTATCTATTATGAAATAATTTGAGGTTATCTGCAGGTCAAGACAGTTAAGCAAACCTGACAAATAAATCAATGTTGGTTCTCATCTTAATAAGTTAATTGATAATATGCTAATGTGAATTTGATTCTATTTTAATTGCAGATGCTGATCTTATTTTGATATGTTTACTCTGCTCAATCCACATCGCTCTCTTAATGGATTTCTGAATCAATCAGCTGATGATGAGTTAATTATTGTTATTATTGCGGGATGCGATATTAACTGCACTAGTAATTGATTAACAAGTCGATTTAACAAGAAGCAAGAATTGCAGTGATTAATTTAAACTATATATCGTAAGTTTTGTGTTCTAATTTACTGATACCTACATATATGGTACTATTAATAGTAATAATAACATTGATTACGATTACAGATAAAATTACTATTGCTGTCCGTTTCCTGGATGATATCCGTTTTGCTTAGACCAAATTCCACCCGGTTTCATATGACTGAAAGTAAATTGCTATTTCCGGTACCGTGAAGTGCAAATCAAATCAACTGGGAGTGGGGAGTACGAGAAGAATTTAATTTTCGTACAATATTCGGTTTTATTGTGAGTGAAGTAAAATTGATATCACGAATGAATGTTTGTTTAAAAAACAACTTTTCTGCCATTTGAAAAATTTTGCATACAAGTTGAAAATTTACATATTATCATTATACGTATTTATATACTGATTATTTGTGTACATTTCACTTCTTTGTCTAATCGATATTCTTGAACATTAGTTTGCTAATCATTTTCTGTTCTCATTAAGCCCTAGTGATGATTGTTATTTATATTTACAGATATTCATCAAACCTCATCAAACCTGAACATTTCCAAGGATCACCTAATGAACAAGTTAATACGACGATTTACAGCTACATCCTCCTCACCAGCAACTAAGTTGAATTTAAATTTTGTACCCAAACATGAGCCCCCAAGATCCCAAGACATTGCTGAACTCCAACAGTTTTTAAGTGATCATTCACGCATCCTTGTTATTACGGGTATTACTAATTGCATAATATAACCAGTAGTTTCATAATAATATTCTTCATTGGCAATGTGTAACTGATAATTTATATAAATTTCATTGTTTAGGGGCTGGAGTTTCCACTGAATCAGGTAAAATTTGCACTCGGAATGCTTAATGAAATAATGATGTATGGGTAGATAAGACGGTGAATACTCTCAGATAATAATTCCCATGATAAAATCCTGCTTATTATTATCGTCCAATGAAATGAAATATCAAATACAAACAGTTTGTGATAACTTATTACTAAAATGATGATTGCTTACCAAACAGAAAATGATAAATATGTAATAGTTACTTGAGGAAAAATATTTCATGAATTCGAATTATTCTCAGCAAAACGACGGGTCCCTTCACTTCATCCATTAAACTTAGAAATAGTTTAATACAAGATGTAATTTGCTCATATTTAGTACTTAGATAACAAATCAATACTCTTATCAACAGGAATTCCAGACTACCGGTCCGAAGATGTTGGCTTGTTCGCTACATCGAATCAGAAGCCAATGAAAATACAAGAATTTCTCTCATCTTCGACTGCCCAAAAAAGATACTGGGTGATTATTATTATTATTATTATCGATTATCTTTATGGATTAAGGACACTGAAATCTGTCGTAATAATAATTAATAATGTCTTAATAGGCTCGAAATTTTTTCGCCTGGCCACGGTTTTCATCATTTACTCCCAACATTGCTCATCAAACGGTTCGAGATTGGGAACTGGGAGGAAAGGTTAGTTGTCTAGTGACTCAAAATGTGGACGGACTTCATAAAAAGGCAGGAAGCTCGGACTGCATCGAATTACACGGGACAAATCATGTCGTCAAGTGCATCGATGTCAAAAATTGTGGGTACACGGTGGAGAGACGAGTATTTCAAGATACGCTGATAGACTGTAACGCCAACCTCAATTTGGCCTTAAGGGGCGGTGGTGATAATCCGCAACAAATCCGACCGGATGGAGACATCACGATCGATCCAGTACGTAATTGAAACTTACAATGCGATGATGCCAGCGGTCTCGCTCCGATTTTGACGAAACAACGATAATTATGTAGCCTTAGGTAAATAATTGAACACATGTTTCGGGATTTTCCATAATGCTCAGTTTAAACAAAGTTATGATGGTATAAGTGCCCGAAAATTCGCATTTTTCTCCCTCAAAAACAAAAAAAAACGAAAAACTTAACGAGAAAAATGCGGATTTTCGGGCACTTATACCATCATAACTTTGTTTAAACTGAGCATTATGGAAAATCCCGAAACATGTGTTCAATTATTTACCTAAGGCTACATAATTATCGTTGTTTCATCAAATTCGGAGCGAGACCGCTGGCGTCATCTCATTGTTAGTTAGTCCCAGGAACTAATCAAAAGTTTCCCAATTTTTTTTACTTCAGTACCAAATATTCGCACTATAAAATTTCTTTTTTTGTTTCCAGGATATCCAAAAATGGTTTAATATACCGCCGTGCCCATCTTGTGGTGGAGTTCTCAAGCCCGACATTGTTTTTTTCGGTGATAACGTGCCCAAAGCTAAAGTTGAACTAATTTATGGTAAGTGTCCACAATTTATCTGAATGTTCTTTGTAACGCTAAGAATGTCCTTAAATTTGCAGATCATCTTAACTCATCTGATGCTCTCCTCGTGTTGGGCTCCTCTCTGCAAACATTTTCTGCCTTTAGGTACATCATAACTGCTCGGGAGTTGGGGATGCGGGTTGCCATCGTTACTCTAGGACCCACTCGAGGCGACAGTCTCGCAAATCTCAAGCTAATTTGTAGAGTGGGCGAAATTCTTCCTTTGGTGAAAGCGAAATTATGAAAGTTGGATTTCTTAGGAGTGGAAGAATATGCTTTAACTTTTAGACAAAGATATGTGTAGAATCACTGAGAATCTTGTACCTGAGTGAGATATAGTCTGCAAATGTTATATATTTATATTAAGCCTTACCACACTATAAAAAATATCAATGAAATTAAACCAGATATATGTCTGTCTATGTGTAAAAGTAGGGCATAATTTCAATTTCGTCTTCATATCCCCCTGTCCTTTGTGAATACTTTCCATCTCCTAAATACCAACATGGGATGAATCATTCAGCCCATTCTTACTCCTCCTAACTGGCGCAGACAAGGTGACATATTCATCCAATTTTCTACCGAAAGCAGGAGTGGAGCTTAACATTATGCCTCGCTTTCTCTCTCCTAAATAAAGATAATCCCTTCTGGCCTTTCTTCTTCCCACCAGCCAACCACCCACCCACATCACAACCTCCAACCTCAGTATAACTAAAACCACCACCTGCAAAGCTCTGAGCATTTCTATTCAGTTGAGTTACACCATTGCACCTTCTAAACTGCATACATGCGGGTGAAAGATGAAGAAAGTCAACCAGCCTGGCTGACAAAAAGAAAAAGTATGTATATCCTAATAAAAATAAGAAAATGTCCAAAATCCCAGGGAAGACAGAGCCACTGCTACTCGGAGGTTTCTTCTGACTTTCGTCGGTAGTCTCATTTCTCGGAACAAGAGATTCTGATGACGGAACGCTAAGTGAAAACATCACGACAGAAGCAGCAGCAGCATCAAAAACTTTGCCAGCCTACGTTCTTATGGTTCCTCTGGAAACACTCTGGGACAGACGGGAACAAAGACTTTGCTTCAACCACTTCATCATTTCATTCCCAATCCAGCCAGACTAAGGTTCACAACCTAATCGACCTCTACCACGGAGAGTAAGTTCTGCAAGTTAGCTCTTGACAAACATCCTTAACTTTCACCAAGATCAAGTGGTTCTGATTCTTGTAATTATTTCCCTTTAAACCCTTGTAAAACTATAATATTTCTAAAAATAAATTTAGAACTAGAACATTCTGTAATCTTGTCGGCCAGAGAGTGAGACAGAGTAGGAGAAATCATTTTTGATCCTTGACTCGAATTTGCACTTCTCTTAAGAGCCCTTCCCGGAACTTTGAAATTATTCATAACATTTTTTTACGGGCAAATATCAACATTCCTACTTGATTTTGAAACAGATAGAGAAAGAAGCATCATATCATCTTCATCATTCAATTTATTTTGACTCTAGTCTGAAATTAACAACCACTTTTACCCCAGATTCGTGCCTCATTCATTATATAAAGGTCTGATCTCTTTGTTGGTGTCATTATGAGGCTGAAATTTGAGCCGAGATGACAAAGTATAAATTGCCACAGTCTGTTTTTGTATAGGAGGAGAAAGGAAAGAGTATAACATTTTGGCATTTGTGGGTCTCTCTCTTGTGTTCTTTCACTTGAGCAGAGAGCAAAAGCAAACTATTCCTTTTGTGGGATTTGTTGAGTAGCTCGAACCTCGGATCGGGTTCTGTTTTTGTTATTTCGTGAATGAAGTGAAAGACCTGCTGATGCTGCTGGAAAGGAACTCGAGACGAGAGAAACAAACCAATAATAATGTGTTCAGTTGACTTTTTGACTTGCTCCCGTTCGTATAAATCGCTCCCCACTCCACGCTTTCTCTCCTTCCTCTGTCAACAAAAATCTAATTATTCTTCCCTTTAAAAATAATTTGATTGCTGGGACGGAAAGAGTTTCCATTGGTGTGATCCCCCTACTCCTTTTGTGTGGGTAAATTTGCTACGGATTTTTGTTATAATTTGTTGTTACCTAGAAGTAAGGTGATACTGCTTTGTGCCACGATAAGATTAGGTGGAGGGGAACAGCTGGGATATAACTATAGACATGTACAAATTGGTATTCATATAGTGGAACGATTTGGTAATTTGTTGTTTTGTTGTGTTTCTTTCCAGGGTTTTTCCAAGGTGTTTCTCTTGTTCCGTCTTCCAGTGTTAAATTACCTCGGACTTGTCGCTTTTACACCTGCTGAAACTCTCTGCGGTAAAGTAAGTGGAATTGGTGATTGATTTGGAATAATATTACTAATGAGGATTTTTTTCACGTGCCTCATACTTTTTTTCTGGTTCAATCTTGTCGCAGGTAGGAAAAGTCGAGTCAATATAGTCAACTCGCGTTGTGATGATGTGAGAAGTCGTTAATCATCATTTTTGGGATTGTCGTCTTTTTCCATAATCATAGTCATTCTCCTTGATGACGATCATCATTTGAAGCTGTACAAATGGACTTTCATTCCATGTCATTAGTTCCTGATTATTCCAATCATCGCGTATAATAATCTGCTTCTGTTGCTGCTGCTGCTAATAATACCATTGGAAAGCTCATTCTACTCTACCACTACAACAACATGCACAGGAGATGAAATTGGATAAATGGTGTGCTGCTGCTGGCCATGAACTGAGCAAACTAAGAGAAATCCTCTCTGCAAATACCACTCGACTGATAAGCCCTGTTGATTATTGTTGTAGATCTTATTGCTTCTTATTATACGGAAACACGGCAACAAAACAAAGTATACATCATCAACTGCCGTCGCCGACGAACAGCAAGTAGCAGTAGCAGCATTAGCAATCTTCTCTCTATTTTCGTATTATTGATCATTATTTATCTAAAATGTTAGTATCAGTCAAGTCGAGCTAATTCCACAGTAATAATAATACGGAATGGCTCCTGTATTAGACGAACTGTTCGAGTAAAGGTGGAGTTTTCCATCATCATAATCATGGGACACTGTCTTTCAAGATATAAAAATTATCACTGCAACCATTGATTTGACAGGGTTGTAAAAAATTTGACATTTACAAGGAGACTACGATAGGATCTTCGTAGTATTATCATTCCTTATCATTATTATCGTCCACCTCTGTGAGTGGATCTTACCTCATCACTTTCTATGATGTGGACCTTTCTAACATTCCTGTTGGGCGTGTTGACTGGGGTTGCCCTCGTGTGTGGAGGGGTGTGGTACATTCTCTCGTTCTTTTTTATCGACCCTGATGCTCCCGATGGGAAGAATATTAAGGATGCAAAGCTGGGACTTCCTAAACCAGCAGAACCAACTTCTGTAACTTTTCAATTACCACCGGTAACTCTAGTTATTATGCATATGACAATGAATCCAATGAAGGTGGCTGTAGTCAATTTAAATGATGATTGTATTTATATTGTTTTTTGTTGGTGCAGGCACTAGTTTCAAAGATAAGTGATGACTCCTTTAAATCCAAAGAAAGCTGTTGGGCCATCAACTTTGTGCTGTATTTCCTATTTCGAGAACTTCGAAATTCAGAAGGAATTCGGAGATGGGTGCTAAGAAAGTTATCTTTGGGTTGGTTAAAGATGGATTTTTATTTACTCTAAAAAAAATCAGATAAAAATTAGTAAAAAAAATATGGCAAAATGCAACAACTAATTATCCTAAAAGTTTGACGTTTATCTTTTAGAATTTGAAGAGTTGCTGGCTACAACGGTACTGGGGAAATTTTTTTCCAGTATTTCGGTGAGGCTATTACATATATTCAATTTTCACTCATTCCTTTATTTAGTTTTATTATATAATACTATGCTTCATATATATTTTCCGATTTCAGATTCAAAATGTCGACGTGGGTCAAAACTTTCCTATCCTGAGCTGGCTTAAGACATCGAAAGTTGAGTTACACCCCGTGTTCAAAAACATTTCTACTCTGGATATCCTCGTTGACTTGGAATATGCTGGAGGATTTCAATTCTCAATTCAAGCGGAAACTCATTTACGTCATTCAGCCTATCTTTCGGTGCAGTGTGAGTACAACATAAAATTAATGTTACGATTTTTTTATTCGTTGTGTACTCAACTGGTTTTTATTAACTGTAGTTAATGGAGTCAAGGGACAAGCACGCCTTCAATTCGCAACGGAGCCTTATGCCCATTGGTATTTTTTTACAACAGTTTCATCTTTTAAACAGCTTGAGTTTTGTACAATTTAGTAGTCTGTTGGAGGATAAGATGTTTGATATATATATATATATCGTAGGTCATCTTAGGATTAGCATTATTATTTAATCCCATTGTTTGTTGGTAGGCCATGACCTTAAAAATTACCGTTCGTCATTGCCTTGTTTCAGGTCTTTCAGTTTTGCTGAAAATCCCGACATTGACATATCCGTCGTCTCTCAGTTGTATGGAAAAAGTTTTAGTCACATCACGTCCATCATTGCGAGCCAGGTAAATAACAAATTTTCTAATAAAAAAATAAGTGCATGCATTTCTGTGTGACTAAGTTTAATGATCTGGTTTTTTATACTTCTCAGCTTAAACGTTCGGTCCGCAAGAAACACACGTTGCCCATGTACAAGATCCGCTATAAACCCTTCTTTACTAGAGTCGAAAACATTATTGCAGCCCTCGTTCCAAACTCTGCTCCACGCGCCGAAATGAAAGGAAATTTGACTGTGACTTTGATAGAATGCCGAGGTCTAATGTCCACTCTGTTAGATGGAAACGTTTATTCCACTCTAGCCTTGGGGGACTTTGATTGGGTGGCGGCATATGTGGATGACAACAACGGCACCATTTCCCTCGTGCGAGACCTTGTTTATGTAAAAACTGAGAGAAGAGAGGCTAATCTGGATTTCACTTTGGGAATGTGAGTCATGAAATATTTATTTGTTGCTGGCTTTCTATTTCAACTTTAATGACCAGACCAGACTATACGATTGGTTTTTTTCTATTCACCAGGGGAAGTGAATTCCCTGTGGTGGAATCACTCACGTCATGCTCTACAAAATCCGAATCGTCACAAGCGAAACAACAACATCTCGAATTTGAAGTTGGCGACGAAATTCTTGCCGTAGATGGAAAGAAGGTCGCAACGGTGAAGCAATGTATAAAGAACTTTAAGTACAGCACGTCCATGAAAGTGATTTGGCGAATTAGGAGAAAACATTACCCCACCATGCTGCAAAAGGTAAAGGAATCCGTAGTGCTGGAGGAAACTCCGGAGACCAACACCTCTTCAACGACTCCAACGGAGCAAGTCTCGCCAACGTCATCGACGAATAATCCACTTGCACAGTCATCCGGAAGTACTGTAGAAGCTACGACTTCATCGTCTGTTACAACTGGTGGTATCTTACCCCATAAACCTATTGGATCTATTGAACCCTCTGCATCTAGCACTTCTAATACTAGTGTTACTACTACTGCAACTAAAAAGGAGAAGATGGAACTTCCAATTATTTCTACATCTTCAGCTACACCACAGCAACCTATAATAACAACAACTAATGTTGTTTTTTCTGCCTCAGACCCCAGGAGTATCACATTCATACCACGTCGTCGCAGCTCGACTATTCCTAGTCAAGAAAACACTTCTTCCGTGGTAGACTCTGGCCTCTGCTCCTCAAATAGCGAGTCTACCACTGTGCCTGCAGAACTTAAATCAGAACGGCCTTCAGGATATGGGTTTAGAAATTCTCTTTGTGATAGCAGACAGTGCTATGTGGTCAGAACAGCGGACATTGCTTGTTCTAGGGTAATTACTTCAAAAATTAAAATTAAAAGCTAACATTTGTTAATTTGCATATGATTGATATTTCATATTATTATGTCTTATTCAGGATCCTATCTTTACGGAACAATTTGACTTAAAAGTTGAAGATTCGCACCGTTTCTTAAACTTGGCAGTTTGGTCTGCAAAAAATTCATTGGAACCAACCACCAGTTCTAACAACACAATCCCACCATCATCTAGTCCTACTAGCAGTCCTAGTAAACGGTCAAAGGTAGATAACAACAGCCAATGATTTAAGATTAAAAATTCGAAAATCATGTCAAGTCAAGTCATTTAATTTGATTGTGTCTTTTCTGTTCTGTTCTATAGACTGCCCTCGCTAACCTGGCCTCTATAACCTTCAACAACGACAGACTAATTGGCACTCTCTCCATCCCAATAGCTGATGTAATAGCAGAGTGTTCGACGACTGGAATGGGCTACTTTGTCAAGGACTATTACCTCCGATCTCCTGATGGAAATGCTACTGAAGCGTATATATAAATATTTCTGGCTTCCCGTCCATTGTCATTTTATTCATTATTCATTACTTACTGTCTTGTTTCTTTGCTCTGTTGCAGGAAGGACAACCTGATAACGACTCACTCTGGGTTTGAGCCACACATGTGCTACGGAAAGATTTCTCTTTCCTTCCTATTCAAGTCTGATGAAGATGTTGCTTCCAAACGTAGAGATTCTACCGACTCTGTCTCTTCCAGTGCATTGGCTGTTCATCCAATTGAAATTGCGACGGATGCTTTATCGGAAACTAATTCGAGTCCTACTGAAGAATATCAGAGTCATCAATTTGTCAGGACAAATTTTAGATGTGCTACCATTTGTGATTATTGTAATAAGAAGGTAGTTACAATTTTTTGTTGTTGATTGATTTGACTATGCCAATATCTAAAATTGTATTTATTGTAAAATTGTAGATTTGGCTTAAAGAAGCCTTCGCATGTCGCACTTGCCATATGAAATGTCATAAAAAGTGCAACGATCGCTGTATTGCCAACACCATTTGTCGCGGAGAAGGATTCTATCCTTCTATTCCGAATTTGAGATCTAGTCATATTACACCAGAAATCATCACGACGGGGGACGATGATCAAATCACTGTTCTTGGTGATGATGGGAACAGTGATAACGGAAGTCTGTCCAATTACAGCATGAGGAGTCTGGTAAAGATATTATAAATATATTACATACATATTCCAGAGCATCGTTTTTTTGTTATTATAAGTTACGTTCTTTTAATTTCAGCAACCAAGCAGTCCTGCATCAACATCCTCAACCCCTGTTGCGTCGAATGGGGTACGTCGGCGAACATTGGGTGGTCTCATCGTGTCCGCCGTACAAAATCGGTCCGCTCAGCTAACTATGCGTCGGACAGGATCCGCTACAAATTTGCTATCTCCTAATCAGAACTCCAACTCAATTTCTAAAAGTCTCCCACCTTCTCCAAAAGCTTCTCCTACAACTAGCCGAAAGGTAGAAGTAGCTTCTTGTACATCATCTCGTCGCCATAGTCAATTATGGTATGGGTGGTGCAAGTGTTGCTGAGAAAACTCATATTTTAAACATGAGATTTGAACACAACACATCTGAAAACAATTTCAGATTTACTGATTTTGAAGTTGCAAACTGTTTTTTTTAACTTTTGCTATTCTCGATTATTTTTGTCTGTATATTCTGTATCTCGCCCTAAACTATAGATGCCACTCGCACCTACCTGACTTGATTTGTATCATTTTTTTCGTATTATTTATTTGCATAAAAGTCTAATCACCTCCTACTACACTCGCTCTATTTTTTCTTATCTCCCTCATCATAGGCTTCTTCTAACTCGGTCTGTGGAATGACTCCACAATCCTCACAAGATATCAATCCTTTCGAAGTGTTAAGCGCGGGTGGGTTCGGATCTTCTGAGGAGGACATTAATGCCGCAGTGGATCATCTCATCCAGAATCCGAACGATGACTTGGTCGCAATGGCGAAGGAGACGGGTCGTGACGTTTACAGTGATCTATCGCTTAGTGAACGAAAGCAAAAGCTTAACCATGTGGTCAGTAAGAGCAACAGTAATTCTTTCCTTGTCTTTTTTGTAACTGCACTTATTGCCTTTTGTGCTTGGAAATTTCTCAATTTGTGCTGAGATTTTATCTGGACGATAATGTCATCATTGTGACTCTCGTGATACTAAATTGTTTGTATGTATGCAAGGGTTTGAGATGTATAATTTGTAGTTCTAGCAATTGTAAAAAAAATTCCAGTATTACAATTTGTCCAGTTAACACTTGCATGTGTTTTTCACCAGGGTATGCTTTTTCAATCTTTGTGTATTTCACTTTTTGTATAGTTATCACAATGTTTGGTTTGTGATTTTTTTGTGAATGTGATATATTTAATAATGATTTCTTACGTTTCGTATTCGTAACGTATTGCCTGATTTAAGTTGTGATGTTTTTTGCTCGTATATTTAATATTTAATATCGCGATTAATTCCAACGGTGCTAATAATTTAAAATACGAATATTCCGAAAATACCTAAAGTTATTTGAAGTGTGATAATTATCATGTGTACTTAACTCGATGGAGGTATTATTTTTATTTAAAGCTATCACTATTCCACTTAGTCACCATTACCATATTTACATCATGCATTTTTGTTGTGATACATGCTCAATTCATTTAATAGTCTTTCCTAATATTCCGACAGAAAACACGAAATTGTGTTCTGTTTTCTTATTTCTTGGTTTTTATCAGATTATACTCGAAACCGTAAATTGTGCCTTTCCTTCGACGTCGATTAATGCGATACAATAAATATTTTGAGTCATCATTATCATTGTTATAAGTTCTTATACTTTTAGTTTTCATTGTGTTTTTTTAACACGAGCACAGCTAATCGCTAATCATCAAAGGAAACCACGACACTTTTTATTACTACATGTAAGCTTTCATTTTTATCATGACACCATCACAAGCAGTATCACCACCTCACCCACACCACACCCACTGACTGAATGCATGGTAAGCAAGAGCTGGATAACTAACTGTGTTACAAGTAATATAATTTCTTTATATACTAATCGCACCACATTGTTATTACAAAAATACTAACAACCACGCTCCCTGTGAACTCGCATGATTAAGAAATTGATCATTCCACAGGGATTTACTAATACTCCACATTCGTAATTATGTCGTTTCTTGTCTTCCTTTCCACCCCACAGCTCAACCGTCTCCAAGAAGATATTGACCTCATGTCCACCAAACGACAGGAGTTGATGTCTCTGCCGGGAACGAGTCGCATGGACGAAATTTGCGCTTGCGACGAACGCGTCCAAGCCCTCGCCATTCTCATGCTCTTTTACTGCTCGGGTCTCCAGCAGGTCCAGGACTTGGAAGAGATGGAAAAAGAATCCGACGACACGCAGCTTCTCATCAGTTTGGATGCAAACGATGATGAGAATGAGATGGAAACTGAGTAGAATGTTTCTTGGGAAAAGGTAAATGTATGTATCAATTACTCATATATGTATGTATTGAATTAACGAAAATGTGTCATATCATGATCAGAAATTCAGAAACCCCAGAATTTTAAAGTAAAAAATATTTATGAATCGATTATATGTATTTAGCAGTCTCTAATGCTTTTACTAACTTACTAACTATACAGATGATCAGTAAAGAGAATAAATTACTTCAAATTAATGATCAACTTATTGTGCTTGACCTGACTCATGTCACTTCCATCCATACAGCTACTTAATCTGTTCCAGGTTTAGGTGCCAAAAATTTCTATTGGCACAAGGCGAAATAAATAATTGCATGTGCATACTTATACATACGCATAATCGTCGTTATTTTACGTGAATAGTAAAAATGTCACACAATGGCTGTCCTCAATTTCTTTCCCCATAATACATGACATTTTTACGCGATTTATGATGGATGCCAGAAAAGAGTGAAATATTAGCGGAATAACCAGAACAATTAAAAATTACCAGTACGTTCATCAATAGCCATCAATTTATAATTATTCACATTACAGAGTTATTATCCAAGCAATTCATTACAATTTTGCCCTAGAACTACTTGTAGTCGTCTCGCTATTTAATGGCTTCATTTGTATTTTTCATCTCGTTACGCTAATTATTTGATGTTTTTCGTTCAATAACAAACAAAGAACACGAGAGGACTATTCTCTAGCAGGCAAACAACCTTTACTGGCGTCTTCGCCATAGGAAAAAAAGAGAATGAAATGAAGACACCTAACCAACCACAAAAAAATGGACAACAAACCAAATAATGGTCTCATCCCCAAAAAGCAGTAAATAAGTCCATCTCTTTCATCGCCTTTGATTGAACATCATCTCCCCCTCGGCTTTTTTATCTATTGGGTCGCATCATTCATACGTATCGTGGCATGGCATCTCGCTCACCTTGCCTCACTTTTCAAATATCTTTACCCCTAATCCATGCAAAATTTGGGTGCTTTTCGTTACTCATCCCATTTCAAAGAAGTTAATTCAAGTCGTTTACATGTTATTATTACTTGTTAATTTTGTGATTATTGATGTTTTTGGAGATGAAATTTAACAATAATGTAGATAAGTCATGGAATATGGAGATTCATTTCGAGTAAATCTGCATACGTGGTGTTGTAACACATAACATATTACATAACTTTGTATGAACTTTGTATGAATGTTTATGGAAACTTCCAGTGGTCGGTCGTCGTCGTAATTGAACTTTTTTTCAACAACTCGACCTCTTGAACGTTTAGTTAGCGGAGGGAGAGATAGATAATTCAATCCAACAACAAAACCAATGCCATCAGCCAGACACTTTTTGTTTGTTCCGTCGTCATTACCTTCCCATGATCAAGATTAAGATTAAAATGATGATTAGCCACCCTTTTAAAAGGTAAAAAGCACTTTGAAGGTTTCATCTCTCTGCCCTCTGCGTCGGTAGTAAATAAGAAATAAAATTTGGGATTGAATTATTGCTTATTATTGAATTGCCTTTGAATTTTCTAGATCATTCTGTCCACCGACGACGACGACGACGCTTACGTGAAATAATAATGATGACACAACACAAAGTTATTATATTCCGTCATAATTGTGTCTGACCTTACTTTTCATTCAATCATTAATAATCGAGTATCGAATCAAGATCAATAATCTCATCATCACCATCACCATCATCATCATCCTTCTGTAATAATAATCCTTGCATGTGACTCAGATTCAGAGAGGTCCACTTTTTTTTAATAAGTTCATACAATATTCCTCAATAATGCGCTTTTGCCATCACCACCACCACCACAAATGGCGAGCGACACTTTGGCAAAGTAAATGTACGCATTTATCAGCAAAGTAGATCTAGCGAAATGCAACGTGACGACGTCGATCGATTCGACACAAATAGTTCGACGACGAGCAAATGCAACGGCATTAAGTGATTTGCCATATGAATTTTCTAGTCTCGCAGGCATGATGAATGAGCCATTAAATTGACTCGATGCTTCAACTAATTGTTCCCACCGTATGGATATGACAATCATAAAAGTAATTTATAACTGAGGAGGAGGAGGAGGTACTCGCATATTTGCAAGTCGTGCGTACACGTACACCAACCATCAGTTATTGGTAGATAAATGATTTTATATGTAAATGCACCCTCTGCAATCGTAAATTACCAAATTACTTTTACTTTGTCATCCGTTTATTTTCTGCTGACATTGATCATCGATTGGGTATTGACTGCGCAATCAATTCGAGTGAGAGTAGTAGTGAGAGAGAGTAAGTGGAAATTAGTGCAGAGGTAAAGAAAATTACCCAACATGCCAATTTCATTTGTGACGAGTAATAAGTCGTCAAATATTTTATAAGGTCAGCTATTTACGTAAAGAGGACGCAATTATGCTTTGTAAATATTTCTGGCTCCTTTCAAGATTTGTCCAGATTATGTATTTATGCATTTACTCCTATTTTCACCGCGTATCTATTTATACAGAATTATTGGTAAAACGTCAATATGCAATCAGTGGGTTATAAATATGTAATAATATCTCCAGTCCTACGTGCGTAAGTAAGTATAATAATAATAATTTGCAATCTCATCATTACTGAATAAGTAAGCAATCAGAAAGGTAAATAATACGTAATCACGCAAAAAATAAAGGTCAACCACTGCTTCCAATTTTCCATGATTTTCCATTCAAACTGTGCAAAAAATATGAATAAACTAAAAAAAAACGTGCTCACACTTTAATATGCATACAAACATTTCGCAAAGTATCGCATTTTCTATGATCCTCGATCCATGTGTTTTTCACCCCATGATGATAACACCTTGAATCTGATCATCATATCGTGTACTCTGCTGATGTCCCATCCCAAATATTATAAGGAAGATTAATGATGTAAATTGAAGACTGACAGTGCCCCGTCTTAATTGCAATTAAATCTTGAACTGGTTGTTGTTAATCTCTTAAACATTTCATTCAATTCTCCTGTCATTCAAAAGTTCATATCTCTTGAATATTATGCATGTCTTGAATTGAATGTGCAGTGTAAAGTCAGTGTCATATCGCATACAATTGACAGTAGGATCTGGTAGTGGTTCGTTGCTTGTAAAAGCTTCATTGTAAAAGCGACAGTAACACAATCCCCCATCTCATTCTGCACATTCTGTCCACATTTCTTGCCTACATGTCCGGCTGGACGGTATAAAAATATGAGTATGAATAAGTGCTTATGGGTGGGTGGACGTGGACGTGGACCTTTGAAGCATTATTATTGCGTTACTTTATTCATTTCATAATTCAAAGTCAATCCTCCAAATCAAGTGGACGTTCATTTATCTTATTTCTTTGTGAAGTGTTAAGGTCTCTGAAAGTTAAGATAAACCTTGACTGAAATACCAGGATGGATTTTAACACACTTTTCGTTCCTTCTCAGAACTCGTCTCACTTACTTTATTGCGTTGCATTTACTTAATATTTCGCAATATTCTAATTCCCAATATCGAAGATACTTGTGCGATTATTTCTAAAACAAAGCTATGCAAGTAGAAATAATTGCATGTTATCAATAATGCTTACCTACCTACCTACTTACTCACTTACCTACCTGCCTGCGCTCTACTTATGCACTGCACAACATTATCAGAGTTATTATTGCATATCATTTTATTTATTATGGAAGCCTCCTAAATTAAACGATCTATAGGAGGAACTTGCCTCAAATTGCGAGACATCAGAGAGAAAAATTACACTCCTACACTGACCACTATTTGTCGTCGTGTTATCATCTTATTACAATATTTAGCTTGTTCTCGTTGTGTCGTAACACCGACCGACCGACCGACAGACAAGAATGACGACAAATCAGATCAGGGAAGTGTGTATGCAATGCAATGCAATGTGTGTACCCAACGTTCCTCTACCAATCATCAACCCTCTTTTAATTCGTTTCGTATCATATCATCATTTATTTAATATTTATTTAGGATGGGATTACTTTTCCATGTGTGTCGTCTCATACACATGTGTGCCCTCTCCTTGGGGTAAAAGGCGTGGTCGCACTGCATCTTTCTGCAGCCATTGTATTATTTAATAATAATTTAACTTTTAACCCTCTCCTATATCCCACCCACCCCAAACGAGACGGGCTGCCCATCCATCTCCGCATGGAAATCAAATGCCACTGGGAACAATAAAATAAATAAAAAGTGAGACGTTACGTTATGGATACAGATTAGTAAACAAATAGCAATTATTATTGTACACTACTTAATCGCGTATAGCGAGAAGTACTTAATTTAGCAGGGAATTATACCAGTTGTAGCGGTATACGTAAGTAAGTAGTGGCAACAAACATTGTTGACTTGCTTGTAGTATTATTACCTCACTTAATGCCATGTTTCATGCCCGATTAATGATAATTCTTGTAATTGATGATGGATATGAATTACACGACAACAAAGCAGAAAACAGGAATGATAATCATGGCAATATGACATTAATTGAGTGGTGCACCTAACTCAAAGAGTACGACACGGGTTAAAGTGTAACATATAGATATATATTTTTTCGTTTTACGTCAACCCAATAATCGAGAATGAATCATTCATTTCATTTGCTCATTCATAGGTTTTTCGTATTACTTACTTATTAATCAGTGCAGTTCAGTAGGGACATGTATAATAATAAGTGAGTACGTAAGTATACTTATTAGCTGGGGAAAAAGTCAAGTTGAATGATCACCAGCAACAACAATCAGAGAGATCATGTTTTTTTGTGTAACATAATTTTACACGCGAGATTGAGATGAACAGCTTACTTAAATAAGATTACAAATGTTGCATGTAACACAATCAAGAGTTAAATGTCCAAGTCTTCTTATTACATAAGCAGGAGAGACGCGTTGTAGAAGGAATGAGATCAACGAGTAAATGAATCACTTTTGCTTTTGCTGTACCACGACCACGACTACCGTTCGTTCCTACTAAACCAATCTATATATCAACCCAACCTACAACAATACTCATGTTTTATGCACATTGTCCCAATTACGGATGGGATTTTCAATCTCATTTCTATTCTCATCATAATCATCATCTCCAAATACCTGAGATGCGTTGAGCAACTCTCTGTGTGTGTGGATGTAGATAACAATTTTGGAATTTCAATTTAGACTGTTTCAAACTTAATTTGTACTCGTATCGTATTGCACACTATTATTACACCTTCTGGCCTTCTGGCTGATCAGGGGGAGTAAAAAAAAAAGAGTAAATATTTACTACTTGCAGGGCAGATAATCCCATTAAAAATTATGCACACTTTCCGGGTTGGCAGTGGCACAGAATATGCAGTTTGTAAGAAAAAAAGCATGCAAACTTGCAATACACACGAGGGACACACATAATATGCATGTCCGATAACACATTTGTCAAGTTGTCAACCTGGCTTTGATTCCCAGTTTGTGTTTGCGAGTACGTAAATTTTTACGTGGTCTCGTTCTTCTTCTTCTAAAAGGCGAATGGTGTAAAAAGGGAATGCTATCATTTCGATGTTGACATTTTTTCTTGCCTTCACAATTCACATTATGAAATTGGTGCAGCAGTCTTTACTTACACAAGATTAATATTCCCATTATATACACAACGTCCCATAACAGCAGCTCTAATCCAATGATAAGTACGGCATATACGTGACTTATCAGCGACCTGATCAACATTCAGTTTACATTGTCTTGTCCACACTTTGCCATCTTGGTCGTCGTCGTGGTCGTCGTCGTATGTCGTTGTTTTATGTCGTTGTCTTATGTCGCTCGTCACCCATCATCCGTCCATCGCTCCATTTAAATTAGTGCATGGTGGACTGATTCGAAAGAGGAATTATTATTACAGATCGAGATAGAAGATCGAGGTGTGGGCAGAGAAGATCGATCGAGTTTATTAGAGGAGTGCCCACCAGACTTCCACGTATTACAACATCATCTCATTCACTTCACTCACTCACTCACACCCAACGACCAAGCCATTTTTTTATGCTGCTCTTTATCTCCACAAGTCATTTGAAATTTAATGCACATTTTAAATGCAACATTGATACAATTTAGAGGATTATGTAACAAGAAGAACAAACACCTTATTTTTGGTGCAATTTGCATTTTCATCCTGTTGTTACGACAAAAGTGTTTATCAATTTTTTTGCATGGTGACCGTGATGCATTACTTGTTGGATTATTATTGGGATCGGCTGCATGAAAGAATACAAAATTTCCAAAAGGCCATAATAAAATACATGAACAACAACATTATTAATGAAATAAACCAATAATTGTGGCAAAAATAATGACACTGATAATTTAATGATTTTGTTGATTTCACTGCCAAGTTTTTGACCTGCATAACGAGAGTAATAATTGTGCAGAACAACAAGAGAACAATTGCCAAGAAAAATAAAATAATAGAATAAATGTCCAGTGCAGGTCATACATATGAAAAAAAAATGAGACATGAAACGACACGCAAACATGAGAAGGCCCACCACCGCCCTGTCGAATATTATGCACATCCACTTTACTTCTGATGCTACCTAATATGTGACCTGGTATTAATAATGAATAGTATTTTTTAGGTAGTACTTGGCGATCTGACGATGTCGGCAAAAAGACCGTCGAGCGTCGTCCTTGTTTTTGGAAGACATTTGAATTCCCAACAAATCAAAATGCATGCAGTTCCTCGCCCTATTGATTTGTGCAGGAGGGGTCCTTGTTTTTGGGCCTGTGAGTGAGCTGCATAATGTGTGAGGTAGCAGAGAGGGGAATAAATAACGTGTATGTTATAAGGCTCTCTAATTGTTGTCTGTATGCATGTAATTATTGAACGATGGAGGTTTCTTATTCAACCAACCACCCTTTACTTTGCTATGAGATGAGTTGCGACTGGGTCCTCCTATATAAACGCTACTCACTTATCCAAAAGGCATCATTCACTCCTCATCAACTTCACAAAAAACATTAACCAACCAACCAACTAGAAAAATCCGAACTCGGAACTTCAAAACTTCACCATGATTGCCAAGGTGGGTTAAGAACTTAAAGTGCAAGCAGTGATGTACTAATTAAGTTTGCTATTATTGTTCACAGTTTGTCGGACTTCTTGCCTTCATCGCGGCTGCCAACGCCGGAGGAATCGCCGCTCCAGTTGCGACCTACGCCGCTGCCCCAGTGGCAACTTATGCCGCTGCTCCAGCCGTCGCTTACGCCCAACCGGCCGTCGCCACCTACGCCGCCGCCCCAGCCATCGCCAAGGTAGCGTATCAACAACAACTATATCAACCAGCACAACACTACTCTGCTCATGCCGTAAACAGATTTTAAACTTAGCATCATATCCTTCCGCAAGTCGGAGGAGTTGTTCAGGGAACTGGAAAATAGGGATTTTTTTAACTGTAACACCAAATTTTATGGGGACAAGGGCATTCAATTTCGAAATTTTGTCCAGGTTGCTGCTCCAGTCGCTTATGCTGCCCCAGCCTATGCTGCTGCCCCAGCTCTTGGTTACGCCCACGCTGCTCCAGCTCTTGGTTACGCCCACGCCCCAGCCATCGCCAAGGTAGCGTATCCACAACTTTACCACCAACAACCACAAATCTACTCTTCGCATCATGCCGTAAACAGATTTTAGAATTTGCATATCCTCGCAGAGAGGAAATTGGTTCAGGGAATTGGAAAATATTAGGGAACTAAGAAAATTGTGGAAGTTGGAACCACAGAAAAACCAAGATGCTAATATTTATTTTCTCTGAAAATCCTTCCAGGTCGCCGCTCCCGTCGCAACTTATGCCGCTGCTCCAGCCGTCGCTTACGCCCAACCTGCCGTCGCCACCTACGCCGCCGCCCCAGCCATCGCCAAGGTAGCGTATCAACAACAACTTTATCAACCAGCACAACACTACTCTGCTCATGCCGTAAACAGATTTTAGATTAAAAATATGCACTTCGACGAGTTCAGGGAATTGGAAAATAGGGCCTTTCACAAAACCTGGTGTTTAGATGAGTTTCTAAAATTTCGAAATTTTCTCCAGGTCGCGGCTCCAGTCACCTATGCCGCCCCAGCCTATGCCGCCGCTCCAGCTCTCACTTACGCCCACCCAGCCCCAGCCATTGCTAAGGTAGCCTATCTAACTCAATTCGGATATGCAGCTGCACCACGACACCACCTCACCCATGCCGTACAAAGATTCTCTAACTAACAAATGTCCTACGAACTAACCCAAACTGAGTCCTACTTCAGTCAGGCTCTAAAAAACCCTGGTGTCATTATAGGTCTCTGAAACGTTGGATGCCAAATTTACACGTTTTTCTTTTTGCTTGTTTTCCAGGTCGCTGCCCCATTGGCTTATGCCGCCCCAGTCGCCAAGGTAGTGTCTCCAGTCGCTTATGCAGCAGCCCCACAATACCACCATCACTATGCTGCCCCAGCCGTACAAAACATTGAAACACTCTTTAACACCAAATGCTAATATTTTTGCTTATACAATCCGGAGTTCATTCTTATCATCAGCTTTTCTGATTTTAAGTGTATGCGCCCACCCCGTCCGAAACATTGGAATTCATCAATTATGTTTTCTACTTGAATAGGTCGCCGCTCCAGTCGCCACCTACGCCGCTGCTGCTCCCGTCGCTTACGCCGCCCCAGTCGCCAAGCTTCACCACGCCGGTCCAGTCGTCGCCAAGGCTGTTGCCCCAGGACTTCTCGGAGTTGCCTATTCCGCCGTTGCCCCAGGAGTCGCTACTCTTCACTTTGACGGATTCGGAGTGAAATACGCTTACTAAACGGTAGCAGAAGACGAACACAAATAATATGAGACTTTCTCCATCTCTTTTATCTACTTTCTACTCGACTATCGTCTCTTTTCACCCAACACTTATCGGCAACACTCTCTCTCTCTTACACCCATAAGAAGAAGATAAGGCCACAGTCATGTCGTCATCAGTATTCCCTTCAAGGCTCAGTCTCCGTTGAGCGTCCCTTGACATAAAAAGAACCCTTATTATTATTTCTCCGCTTTAGACACATCTGCTCAAAAAACTATACTTGGTTCTCTTCGCTTCATCACTATGTACTTTTATTTATTTAAATAAATCAAAACAGTTGACATAAAAAAACAAAGGTTCTGATTCACTTTTTTGGCATATTTTTTAGCAAAATATTCCATCCCATTTATTTCATTTGCAACGACAAAAAACGTAACAGGAATACATCAACAACATTTAATAACAATTAGTAAAACGCATAATTTGTATATATCCAAACACATTTTTTTATTAATATCATAACAATCATTTAAATGTGTAACAGCTCTCCGAAAAATCCGACATCCATTTTTTTCTATACACGATGAAATTAGTACATACATATTTATTTCTTTGATAGAGGGAGAAAGTGGTCCAAAACTTACAACATTTAATATTTGGTAACATTTATGAATTTCGCAAATATATATCATGAACACGACAGAGAGACGGAAATAATTAGCTTATATTTATATCATCTATTACACTACCGTATCTTAAATATTTTGTTTTTAGCAAGTAACTCGTAAATACGTACGTACGTGATCGTAGGTGAGAGAGTTAGGATTTTATGTAGGATTGTCGTCGTCAACTTTTAGCGAAAAATAGTAAAATTAAAGAAGAAGCCATATCGAGATGACTGACACGAGAAAAAGTAGCACCAATAAATTTATCAATCTTTCCTACGACAATGTAACGTCCTGCAGGAGGGCATGAATAGATTTATAGAGTTTTTACACAACTTGTAAGAGTAGAAACATACGTTGGAGAGTACAAACAATATACATCTTAACTTGTACAGTTTCCGCTTCTGGTTCGTAAAACATATTTTACGGTAACTCGTGTTTGTGATTACATAGTTTAGTTGTGCAGAGGTTATATATCGATTTTTATCGCTTTATATCCATCTATAGTACATACAACAACGGTTATATAAGAGTAATACTCACGAGGGTTTTTTTTTGTTACGTTATGAGATTGACAACAGAGGGACAGAACAAATATGTACTTTCTTCTTGTACAATATATTGTTATAATATTAGTTCAAGAAGACACGAATCTGGAGAGGGCGAAGGAACCTGTACGTACGTAACACAAGACGACAATGAAGAGGAGAAAGTACAACAACATCAAGGATAATAAGTAGACTACACATAATTTTCTGCTTCTTTCTCTCTTTTTTAATTGCTACATCAAATATCGGGGACCTCTTTATACGGGAAATCACAGAGTTTGTCAACCCCTTGTTGAATATGTGTAAATTCGGTAGCCGAGCTGGGAAGGCACGGATATTTGTATGCCAGAACGAAATAGCAAGTGCCCGGATCCTCTGAAGGAAATCCTTTCGGGAGACAATCTCGCGATCGCTCTTCCCATTCGAAGCCTTCCGTGTCGGATAAGTGTCTAGGAAGGGCACACATAAATAAATTGCGTCAATATTATTGCGGTTATATAAATACATGTATTTTTACAACTTTTGTCATCCAACCTGTATGTTGTTGGACTCACGTTGATCTTCATTGGTTCACTCCCCGACTCGAATTTATTTGCAAGCGTTACGTTATTACCGAACAAACAGTAGCGCGGCATTTTCACCCCAACCACGCCAGCAAGCACGGATCCGGTGTGGATTCCGATTCGCATCTGCATTCAGGAATTGAATTAAGATAATAACGTATTGACCATAAATTTCAGCTTGTGAATATCTATGTACACACCCTTATCGGCTGCCCATCATGTGCCGTATGATTCTTGCAAGTACTTATCATCTTCAACGCCATCCAAACGATCTGTTCCGCATGGGTTTTGCTAGTGCGGTGAAGCCCACCCGCCACACAGTACGCGTCCCCGATTGTTTCAACCTACATGGAAGCGTTTCAGGACATGAGTAGAATTTCTTTAAAGTCACCAAGAATTTTAGCTATTTATTTGGCCATGAGTTTCCCTGGGTTGTGGTGTTAATTAACTCGCACTACTACTTCTGCTGACTGACTTTACTGTAAGACGAGAGGCTGCAGGAGTGGCAGCCTTAAAAAGTCGTAGAGTCGTATAACATGGGTGACTGATCCGTACACAAAATAAACGACTCAATCTAACCCAGGATTTAAAACAATACTTTTGTTCACCATGCTCTCTCACTACTTGTTCTTTATAGTTTAGTTACTTTACTGTAGTATTTTAGTCTCATTTCATTCCAGTTTTACGGGCACATAAAATTTTAGGGTGTTTTCCGTCTCGAGCAACTAAAACGAAGCTAACCCCAGATTGCTTTCATTTACTGAGAGAGGGAAAAAGAGAACTGACTATGTCCTTCTAATGTCTTTCCTTTACAATGAACCACAAGCCACAACGTGACGAAATACATGGCACAGGAAGAAGAAAAAGATGCAGAAAAAGAGTCTACAAAAACTAATCGTTACCTTGTAGACGTCCAGTTGTCCGCAGAAAGCGTCAAATTGGGTGTACAAACTTTGCAGTAATTTTACCACTTGCATTGGCGTAGCTGTCGAGCAGATCGACGTAAAGCCGACGATGTCACTGAATAACATCGTCACATTTTCGTGCGTTTTAGCTTCAATACTTTCACCTAGATTTTGAGAAATGTATGTAATTTCTATCCTTTTCAACCACTAAATTGTGCACTTACCCAACCACAACCGCTTGGCGATATCCTCGGGAAAAATCATGTGAAGAAGGGACACATTTTTCTCTCTTTCTCGATCAACTGCTACTGAAGCTTCCTCAATTGATTGCCGCAACTTATCCATTCGTCGTTTCAACCCGTCCTGTAAATGAAATGAGATGGGTACATGAACACAAATACGAGTTCATCCTGTTCTTCTTTTTCCTCGTTATTTGTGCCAATATCGAAAAAAATGAGGAAGCCATCAGCAAATGCTGGAGTCTTGGATAGGTTTCTACGCATCATTTGTCTCCCCTTAATTGTTCCAGTTTCACTCAATCAACATGCCCTACTGGATCTTTCTCAGCTTCATTTAACTCGTTTTTATTATGCCTTTCCCACTGGAATCTGATATCTGGCACACAAAATAGCAGATTTCCTCTCTTTTCTTTTTTTGCACCACCAAAGAGAGAAAGTCCTCTCTCCCAACATAATATGTTGGGGTGACATTTTGGTGGACTAAATAAAAAGTCACCTTCTTGGTTTGCCAAGATTTTGTGTATCAGTTCCAGGACCAGGATTGCATTATTGTATCTGCTACGACACACACTCCATTCGTTTCATGATCCTGAAGTGGAGGAGAAGAAGAAGAAAACTAATTTTATTTTACTTTCTCTCTTCCTCTTCCACACCACTCGAAGGACTGTTTCTCGCGGATGAAAGGAAAACGATCCGGGGATATTAAACCAATTTATTTCCTAAATAAAGTGTAATCAAAACCTAGTCTGTTGTCCTCCCTTTCCTTCCTCTTTGATGAGATTCCCAGTAATCTCTCCGCACATATGCATCCACAACGGTATGTATTCTCATTCATTGTCCTGCTTTTGGCTTTGTTGCCAGCAGTTGTTGGCATCGCTTTTCCGATATTTAGTACAAATGGATGCATATCTTGCCATGTAATGAATATCGAAATGTAGAAATTTACATATTTGTCCCTGTCCTCTTTTTTTATTTAATATTCAAAATTTTCTATAGCCACTTGTGCAATTGACTTGCTCCACGAGATCGTCATCGTCATCAGGGACGACGTCTCCAACACATTTATTACTCTCCCGTCTGGAAAAATTCCTTTGTACTCCAATTCGCATTCCGTAACGTAATTCAAGATGGGAAATATACGTGATGGAATGAACTGAGGGGAAAAGTTGCCCAATTTTTTTATTAAAAAATGAATAACCTTTTGGCCTACTGCATCTCTAGGTAGGGAACCGATTTGACTAAACTCAAGTACATTAAGCCAGCGGCATAGGTAGAAGGAGCAGAGTGCAATAATGTCATTCGTATCATATTAATTTTAAGGCAGACTTGCTGAGACTGCGACGGTTTATTAAGTCAAGTATTTTCTAGCACGAGGACGCTACCACTCTTCCCAAAGTAGTTTGGTAAGGTAAGAACTAACCAAAGTATAAATGGAAATGAGCACTTATGGTTAAATGTAACCTAATGAGGCATGGTCTGGTGGAGGAGGAATCGTTATAATAATAATAATAATCTGATGTGGAGTAAAGTGATGTTGCCTGGTTTCACTTATTAGACGAGTAAAGTGTGCAGTATGAGAATGTCCAAGTAAAACCAAGCCGACTACATATCAAGTGGACAAAGTTTTAGCAGTTATCTTCTTAACCTAGTGGAAATGGGTGCTATATTTTGCCTTGTATAGATAACTTCATAACTTCGCCATGTACATGAACTCTTGAGGAGCGTCTTAACTCAGAATTTGGTGGCACTAGTGGGAAAAGTATGGTCGTAAATTGTGGGAATTAAAAAAATTAGCAGACTCTATTGTAAATTCCGTAAAGTTCTCATTATTTTCCGCTCCCTTACTTACCTGCGCTCTGGATTGTTCCCCGACTAAGATCACGTCCCTGGTTGCGTCATGGATGGGAATGTCAGAAATGAAGAGTCCCCTGGATGTCAAGCCCTCCAACCCGTCAATCAGCGGAGAGCCGAGAAACAGGAGACATCCAGACTCCAGACAGTCAATCATTTGACCTTTCAACTCCAACCCCTGCAACAAAAACGGAAGATGCGACAGAGTCAAAATTTACTACCTCATTTCATTACAATTTCACCTTTTCGGCAATAAAACGGGGGTAAAATGTAAAACAAAGGGACGCGTTTATTATTATGACATTCATTCTCCATCGGAGCGAGAATCAGTGTGTGTGCGTGTGGTCATACATACGTTAACTTTCACTTGATAAGAAGATATGTGTAGGTTGCTCTGCTTGGTGGCTGATGATGGGATCCTTCGGCCCATATATTGTTGTAGGTGGTAGGTACACGGTGTACATACACCGTGGCGTTATGGGTATCATGGCGTCCTATAGCGGTTGGTTTTATTGCGGTTGGTTGGCTTCACTATAAATCGCATTGTGGTCGTGTTCTTCCTTTTATTACAACACTGCCAACATGCAGGATGAGGAGAGAGATGGAAGCTCGCAGATCCAAAGCTTTTCGCCTTTCTGTCCGGATGACTGGTTTGGTTGGGTCGGGAAATAATAAAAGGACTCATCGTTGTAATCCCATCATGTCAACTGGGCCGACGTGAGTGATCTCATCGATTTCCTGGCACTCGTCCTCGTAAAATATATATATATGTATTCTCCAAAAGTCAAGATGACTCCAATTTCCAACTCAAAATAAAATAAAGCCTTTATTGCAAAGAGGAGGAGGAGGAGGAGTCCCTCATTTTCGCTATTCCATCGTCCTCGCCGGTGTTATCAGCTGCACATACATGACACCTACATATGGGGAGCGAAAGGAGAGAAAGTCGGACGGACGGACGTTGGCCGATTGAACGTGACAGCTTTCCCTTGGGTGGAGACTCTCCGGCCCCGGTGAATTTCACTCAGTTCGCTGTCATATTATCATTCTGTGACCCAAACAGGGGATGAATCCAGTGATAGTTGGATATGTAGCAGTTAGCATTATATGGACTGGGATGGACAATGGTCTCCCAGTAAAGCTTCATTGTTTCCTCCGCCTCTTGTTATTTCTCTCTCAATCTCGGCCTTTACTATCTTTCCTCTCTACGTATGTAAGTACTTATCTATAACCAAGTGTTTGCCTGTCGAGTTTTTTTTTCCAAGTATGAGTAAAATTCATGACGACTATCGTTACGATTTTTTATATCAAGTACAAAACATCAAATTTGGAGAACAAGTCGGGAGCGAGAGAAATGTAGGAGATGGGATCATCATCAGTCGCGGAGAAGGAAGAATGGAGAGAAAAAAATAAGAAGGATGGATGGAATTGGAATCCGGCTTGAAATGATCTGCGAAATGATGATTCTTGAGATTCTTCATACCACATCAGTCGTTCGTACGTATGTACTTGTGCTTTTAGTTATTAGATCAGGACGAAATATGGAGTGACATACATAAACGCACGCACGATGAACGCATCCATCTCCATGTATCTATAGTTAAGGTTGGTTGGTTGGTTCTTATAGGAGAACGTGATTTCCAAATCGTTCGTACTACATTTCCCATAATAAATATACGAGGACAAAACTGCTCATAAAAGAAATAACTCGCTTTATCCGTCTCCTCCTCCACCAAACAAATCTGTTTCTTCTTCTTCCAGAAAGAGAGGAAGAGAGGAAGGGGATTGCATTTGACCATTTTTGAAACCCTGCTGTCATTCATATCGTGATGCCATCTTCTCCTCGTTTAGTCACAATCTGGACCTGACTGACTTTGCATTTGAACTCCATCCATCCAAGATGCACGAGGAGAAGAGAGACGAGAAAAGCGAGTAAAATGCACGTAAAGATTGGGAAGAAGGATCTGAATCTGCGAATGCTGGATGGATTTGCTTGAAGCATCAAATCAAATCTCAAGACGTTTCTCTTTTTCTTCTTGGCGCTCTTCTGGAGCCAATCTTTCCATAATCATCATTAAAAAACGGGATTGACTCGGTCGGCTTGACTTTGAGTAATGGCACTCATTCCTCGCCGATAATCTCCCCATTTTCCCCAGACCTGCTTATTATGCTCCTTGTGTCTCAGTCAATCAGTCAACCATCCAACGGGGACTGATTCGTCGTGGTAGTCACCGGGTGACGCCGTACACTATTCGTGCTGACTTTACACCACCACCCATCACACGCCGAAATCATCCTCCTTTCGTCCCACCTCTTTGTTTAGTCTATTCATGTCGCTAAATAATCTATCACGCTTCTACTTGAATGAGCTTTCTGGATGAAAATCAAATTTTTTTCAGAGAAATTAAGTAAGTAAATTAAAAGAGAATTTGGATCGAGGCATGGATTTGCTTGCTCGTGGCTACATATTTGAAACGCAGCTCGCAAGATAAGCAAAAGCTTCTCTCTCACGAGAAGGCTGCGTCAGATGAATTTTGAATTCTAAAACTAAAATAAATGACTAGATTTTCTACCCACCTCTGCCAAATTTGCCGGCCCCATGTTCACCAGTCGGAAGAGGAATGGCGTATTCAATCGTTGGAATACGGTCTCGAATGAGATTTCCGATCCGAGATGAGGTCTCACAAAGTAGAAGAATTCGGTCACCTTGTATCGTTCCCTCCCCAGCTCGCGTAACGTGGGGGCGAACAGTTTAAGGAGAGATGTACCCAACTGGACGAGGTAAAGGTCCCGGTCGAGGACGAAATGCCATGGGAAAGCTCGACTAAAGAGGGCGACGGAGAGTCCCAGATCTTTAGGATTTGTGGAGAGGTGATGGTGATGGTGTGCTTGGGTGTGACCTCCCTTCGTCATGGATGTACCACTGACTCGTCCTAGGCCAGAAATTTTACAAGAATTGTCAAAAATTACATTTCTATGACCCAACTATAGCACTTACCTTGTCCCAGTTTAATGTTGTACACGAAATGAAGCTGCGTCGGTGTGTGGGATGGAGTTGGACTGCATCTAATTTCCACCGTGTTGCCGCCCTGACTTGCACCACCCCCTTCCCCGTTAGTGTTATACAACTGGGTGCAAATGGTGGCCAACACGGCTCGAAAGAACGGTCCGGCTAGAGCATCCATCGACGTGGTTTTGTAAAGGACCGTGTACCGTTCCTCGCCTTCCTGCAAAGCGGCGATGTTCTCCTCAGCCGCCTTTCTGCTGGTCACGATGGTCTCCTCGAGGTCGCCCATGCCCGCCATTCTAAAGATAATATACGACACGATCAGAGACGACATCAAAACCAAACATGATTTACTAGAGGCTAAATTTGCTCCCCATTTCTCTCTTAATCTCCACAAACAAGGTCTTGGCAAGCGAGTGTAGGAGTCGTCGTGGAAGTAGTAGTTGCTCTCTAATCTGTCATTAATACCTTTCTCCGCTCCTAAATTCCAGTCCTCCTGTCATTCAGCTCATTCCATCGCACGACCATAATCTTGTATCCAATCCTGCTCCCCTTTCCTCCCTTAACTTCTTTGGCGACTGTATGTAGACACCTTAATTTGGTGTTATGTGTCTCCTCTGTCCTGCTCTACTTTCACCTAAAACCTCGCTCCTCTATCTATTCATTCGTCCTCCTCCTCTCCACTTTCCAAGAGATTTATGCTCGAGTTGCTCGTTCCTTACTCGCTTGCATGCTTGGTGGACATCTTGGTCTTATACGGACACACTTCTCGCACTCATTCCCAGTGCCAGCATTACACCCCACTCAACCATGACGAAGAGGACGGAATGAGCCACCCAAAACTTATGGCGGATGTGTATAGCATGGCATTGCATCCGAGATAAAATCAAACTTTTACCCTGGAACAAACCAAGTGAAACTAAACACCAACTGGCCTCTGCTCAAACAACTTACTTTTAGTGAACACACAGCACCAGCCGCCTCTTCCCAAACTAAAAGTGTACGTTGTTGTAGCACTCACATTCAACAACTTTAAATTAAACTTGTAGCATAAACTCGGTGTCGTAATCCTTTAATAATTTCAACCGGATAATTTATACAATAATCTAAACTCTACATGCATGCATACATTTCCTCCACATTTAGTGTACTCAATAGTAGGAGCTGAAAATCATACCCTTGATTAGAATGTTTCAGTGCTTCCAGGACACCGTCCAAATTGATGAGGAATTTTCCAAAATTTGGACCCAGCGAGAGGTAGGCACGTTTATATCGGGATAGACAAGAGCCGAAATATGCTTCGCCTAACGAGCTTCCAAACGAGTCCAGTTCACCACCACGGTCCGGATGTGCTGGGCCATCTTTAATGGAAAAGAGAGCAAAATGTTTCAAAATTTAGAATGTGATTTGAACTGCAAAAAAAGCCGTTAAATTTTCAATGAGATAGTAGCAAGCATACTTAAGTTCACGGGTTGTGTAAGCAGCACCTGACCGATATCTAACCGAGTAAGTTTTACTCGTCTGTATGCCAGGGCCAACGTGCGTGGCTACGTTGGATGGACCAGTTTTAGAGACACTCAGAAAGAGAGAAAGCAGCTATACGTACGTAAGTAGGAGCACATTCTGCCAATAAATCAAGCGAAAACATTCATCTCACTCCGGGATAGGGTGACATCAAAAGCCTCTCATTATCTGGGAACCCATTACCATTACCACCACACCTCCCTCCCGAGCACCCATCCACCCCATGCAGCTTTTGCTAACAGTTCTTCTCGCAAACTACTTACTGTTTGCATACAAGTGAGCGAGAGAGAGAGAGAGTTACGACGACGAGGAGGAGTGAGACTTTCTACGAGACACATTTAGGTATCTGTAAGTATATTCTGAAATGATGACACAATTTTACACCCAACCAGAGTCAAATCCAAGAGTACTCTCTCCAAGTTTTCATCTTCACCAAAATTCTCGGTTTCGTAGAACGTGTTGGTTCCGTCTTTTATTTTCATCCTCGTCCCCGAAAAGACTTTCTCCCCAGTTAATTTCAAGTGTCAATCTTTCCTTGGCACCGCACAACAAGTATGAAATGAAGAGGAGGGGATGGCATGAGGAAGGATATGCCAACTCTCCTTGTGCCCCTTTATCATCGTTTCAAGGGGCATATCATTCAGGGCTCGACGAATGCGAGGGAGTGACATTTTACAGAGAAACAAATCAAATTTCCGGCTTTGTGACACATTATGGACACCAAAGAGAAAAGGACATGTCTTCCTAGGTTTTTGATGGGCTAAAGTTTGAGCAATTTTTTCAGAGTTATTTAACATTTAATAATAAGAGAAAGTCGGAGACGTGTGCGGGATGTGGTGGTTGGATGTTGCTCTCTCCTCGACTATATAATATTTATATACTAAGGACACAATAATAAATGGGCGTATTTAAATAATTAAGAAATAATTAGTGTTTTTAAAATCTTAAATGTTATCTTGTCAAGTACGTACTACGAAATTACGTTAAAATACCATTTTGTTCTAAAAATTTGAACTCGAAACTTACATTAAAGCTGGTGAGAACTTTAACCCTTTAAAAACTGATAATAAGTATTTATGTATCTTGCAATTAATTTTTATCAAATTTTTGTATTGTGAAAAATATTTCCACACAATCATGTCACGTCATTCCAATCTCCCCTGACTGGCGTTGTAGAAAGCTGAACTGGATTTTTGGGTGTGGAGGGGATGGGGAAGCCTTGTCTTCCAAATCCGACCTCGAGGGGACGCCCAAAGGGTCACCTGCTGGGATTAACAACGGATCTCTGTGGACGCCTGGTCGCGTCCATGCCACCTGACATTCATCATTTCGGTTGGGAGCTGGATTTCCGTCGTCACTTTCTGATCTCACGCCTGGAATGGGCTGACACCGTCTGGACTTACGTCGCCAACTGCGTACATACCTAACTTATTTACTCACTTGAATAGGTATTTTTGCAAAATGTGATTGTGCTGACATTATGACACCACCACGACACTTCGCGGAGCGAATTGCACATTTGCTACGATTAAAGCACACTTCTCCGGTTACGATGTTGTATATATTACGTTTTGATGTTACAACACATTAAGATCTTGTAACCGTATGTTTATTACCCTAATGTTATGATGTTATATTGTCACATAACCTTGGTCAGATATTTGAACTGAGAATCCTATCGCACATAATTTTGTTACGAATAATGTAAATATTGTCACACTGAAAAGTCAAATTTCTGTTATAATGTTTAGACTTTCACGTGATCTCGTAATTGATAAAAATGCAACCGTTATACTGTTAAATCACGCATAAAATATTCTAGAACTCGATAGGCAATTATGACTGAAAGGGTTTATTACGGAAATTACGGAATCAATCAATACGAGAAAGTCTGTCTATTTTCTAATAATACAAACAGTGTGGTCGTATCTTGTGAAGTCATCATCATCAGCGTTACGTGGGAATCAGTCGCCATGTCCTAATTTAATTTGAAGGCTTCATTTCCCACAAATCTGTCCTCAACACCAACGAAGGAACCTACTTCTGACTGATCTCTCTGCCTCTGAGCTAGTTACACAAACATACCGCTATCACCACACCACAACCCCCACAAAATTGGACAATGTCCAGTCGTGTCCATTGAGGCAAAAAGTTTGGGTGGGTTGAGGTGCCAAATTTATTTGTGGCTTTGAATTGGCTCTACGAATACCCAGAGTGTGGTGGGTGTGAGAGAGTGATTGCATTATCCAACCCACTGATGCGAGAGGGTTGTCATCAAGGGTGCTTGGTGATGGTAAGTTATCCATCAGAGATCAGTTTAGGAAAACATTTGACATGATAAGACCCTCACACTCTTCCCGACCAATAACTTTTCATCTTTTCCTTCCCATAATGTAACTTTATTGCTTCAAACCAACGTGTGAGATGAGCAACTGTTGTCGACCGAGGTGTCTCATCCTGTAAGCGTCACCTCTCTTTGAAACTTATGAAATACATCGATGAAACGACAACGAACAATATAAAAGTGGTCAAGCTAAGCAAAAAAACTCACCTTTTCCCTTTCACTTTGACCAAGAGCAACCCAGAAAAAAGTAATTAATTCAAAGGAGGCTTAATTTAATACCACTGCCCAAAAATACACCAACTTTTTCCCCCAAACTCAATTCAAAAGAGATAAAGTCAGCCAATGTGTGTTTGTTATTTTCTTTCTTCTTTTTTCTCCTCCTCCGAGTGGGCGCAAAATGAGGCAGAAAATCTGTTGTGGAGCCAAACCGTCGTAGGAGGAAAAAGGGTTAATGTCCAAGCCGAGTTTAAATCCTCTTGACGAAATTAATAAAGAAAGGTGCTGCTGGCTAGGATTGGGCTGGACTGACCACCAAGCAAAGGTAATCCCCTCCTTTGGGACTTCATTTCATCTCCTCCTGCCCTGTGGATATCCAATTTCCTCTTTTTCTACCCGCCTCACCCCTTTTTTCCCAAATAAAATAAAGTTCTACGGGGTGGAAGCATATGGAAAGCGTTTTCTCCCATTTGTTTTCCCTCCACTTGATCTTCTTAAAAAAATGTGGGAGACACAGCAAAAGTTATTGTGTACCCGCTCCTAAAAAATTTATGGAATGAAATCCTCTCAACGAAATGAACCCTGGAGAGTTTCATGCGCTTTTTTCCCTGTAAAATAAATAAATAAGGCTTGATAACCGTAGCCTTATTCCGTGCCGTGTGTATCCATAGTTCTCATTAATAATTGAGCTGAGGTGGGCAAAGGTGAGCTGATTAAGTGAAAGTGATAAGTGGATGAGAACGAGAGAGAGAGAGAGCGAGAGAGGGAAAAGAACCGGAAATCTGGAGAGGAGGAGATTATAAAGCTATGGTTTGAGAGATAAGGCACGGTATTTACGTATATGTCCTCCTCTCCCCTGAAGCAACTCCTTTCTAATTCTGGCCAAGATTCTGACCAGATGAGAGAGAGAGAGGATGTAAAGGGAATGATAATAGGTAAGGAATTAACGAGTTTCGTAAATCTCGTGGGAGGCAATTATCTCTCACAAGTTTTGTATCCATGTCTCCCGTGAACTTTAAGGTGATAGCAGCTTCCGGCTTTTCAAGAAACTGTGTATAGCGTCGTCATCCTCGTGGTCGTCAGCATCATCATCATCATCATCTTACAAGGGACACTCACGACCTGTCGTTTGAGTCCAGGGTACCCACTATGTTTTTTAGAATCTACTAGGACCCCAGATGAAGGATTCATTCATATTTCTGTGTAAAACTCATATTTGGCGTGGCGTGGCGTCAAATTCGCCAAATTTGATGGTTTTTCATTTTAAAACCGCCGTAACTTTTGAAATCCTGGACGGATTTTCAAAATTTTTGGCAAAAATCATGACAAGGAGTTCAACTTTCGTATTCTATGAAATTTTTTCCAAAATTGTCGCTTTTAACTTTTCGCAAAATTTCGAAATTTCGGGTTCGTCGAAAAAATGCTAAAAATATCTCAAAAATTAAAATTTTTTTATTTTTATTTTTTTCTCTAAAATTTCGACTTTTCTGATCATTTTAAGCATAAAATTTTAAAAATCCGACATAAACTGCAAAAGTTATGGGGGTTTGAAATTGGTCGAAAATGCAAATTTTTAAGTTTGGCGCCACGCCATGGCGCCAAATATGAGTTTTACACGGAAATATGAATGGATCCTTCATCTGGGGTCCTAGTAGATTCTGAAAAACATAGTGGGTACCCTGGACTCAAACGACAGGTCGTGAGTGTCCCTTGTTAGTTGGCCTAAATGTATCCTATAATGTCCACGCTGGTGGTGGTGGTTGTGGCCTCTTCGCAGAAAAGCATACATAGCGGACAAAAAGAGGATTCTCCGATTTTACACTTGCTTGATTTCGCTACAAGCGGTGCTCATTTTATAAAGCATGTCGCCCTTAATCCGATTATAAATCGGGTCAACCTATTCCTACCAAGCGAAACCGAATAAAAGCTAGACACGCATATTACTATTATTATCAGGTCTAAGATATAAAAGCTAAATTAGCTCGATCACAGGGTCCATATATGCACGAGTAGGCCGTGATTTAAGTAGCTAATTTAATATATATATTAAAGTGCGGGGCAATTTTATACAGAAAACTTTTACTCTTAAAGAGTACCAACTCCTTATCTGCTCACCTTTATTAAATTCACTCCTGATAACAGCAGCAACTTCGTCGAAACAGTTTGGAGCAATTTCTGAAGTCGTTGATGTCACTTTCTTCTCGTTTTTCGCCACTTCACACCATCTGCATCTAAAAAGGACAACACAAAAATTTAGATCTGGAACTGATAACGTAAACACATCTTGAAACAAAGAGGATAAAAATACCGGGATAAATAAAATAGCAGCGAGTGTTTAGAGACGAATGGCTCATGATCATGACGCCCATCATCATCATCATCATCAAGATGAGCATTGCCCATATAAATATATTGTGCTATTTCATACGCCATAATGTCACCCACTCACCCAGTAACGGGTTCAACTTGGGGAAGGAGAGGCGAGAGGGAAAAAAAGAGAAAGTGGAGAAAACTTTGTAAAAGAAAGACTGAATTCAATGAGACAAAGCACATTGCTCAAATTCCTCCAATAAGTGTTCTCACTCTTCACTTTTACTTTCCTTTTCATTTTATCTCTTCGTTTTCTCTTTCTCTCATCTCACCTTTCTCGCCAGCCACTCAGTCACTTTCTCCACTTTCTCTCCACTACCGAACTCCCCGCACAACCGGGTCTGGCGACAAGGCGGAGGGGGAAAAAAACTTGGCTGGGCTGGTAAATAGATCAGGTGAGGTGCTGACTGAAACAACATGCATGTAATGGGGGCTGAGTGCATTTATAACTATTGTCACATTAAAGGGACATTGAGGATGAAAATGTGACATGCTTTCACCCACACGTTCACAAGTATGACATAGATTGTTGATAAACGAACAGGATTTAGCCAAGTGTACATATCTAGATAACTTGTGCGAATTGTCTGGAAAACTTTTCCCCTTATCGCGCAATAGTATTACGTACGTACATTCCGTTGGTCAAAAGTTGGTCTGGTAAACCATACTGGGTCAAAAGATAAGGGAAAACTCTCTCCCGGATACTAGATATTCAGGTGAATAATACAACATCCGAAGGACAAAACTAATCTAGTGTTTCTATCCCAATGTCTGTTTAACGCGAAAACTGTGTTCCCAACCAGAGAGACGTAGTTCCTCTCCGATTTTATTTCCGATTTTCAGACCACGACTACGTACATTTTAGTTTTGGATGGTCCACTCTTCCTGTCTCTGGTGACATGACATGACACCACATTAAATCACGTCGGGGGCATAAATTAAGGCTCTGTCTGTCTGTCACTCGTGTCCTGTCGTACACAAGAGTACTTTTACCTTGGATCTCCTATCTCTCTCTCTCTGGCTCTCACTAAAATCGGGCATCCGCTTGACTACTACCACTCTCCCACAGTTTAATCACCACCATGCACTTTATTCAATCCCTCTGGTGCATGAGTTACACGTACACGACATAAAATAAACCTACACTGCGACTCCTTTTTTGTTCCGGTTAACTATCAATGACCGTAAAAAGAAGTTGAACTCTGAAGGTTTGTTTTGTTCTTGGGTTTTGTTGCTTTGCTTGTTTTCTTCTTCTGGAGGCAGAGCGAGGCAGCGAGCGGAGGGGATTAAAGTCGAGGAGACGTCAAGTAGGAAAAGAGATCTCGGATTACTGTTTAAGTGGCTGTGTGGTGTGTGGTGTGGTCAGATAAAGACGGCAGAGAAAGCTTAGTCCACCGCTAATATATACTTTCGTTCCGGCCAACAAAATTTGGTCAACCTGTTGCGCCCTACTTATATTCTAAGTATGGGTAATAAGCTCAAAATTTAAAAAAAACCCCAAGTAACGACTGCTTTTCAAAGGGAGAAAGTTTCATAATTTTTTCATAGATATTTCCAAAAAAATGAATTCGCAAGAAGGAGCTCGGAACTTTTCTGATCTTTGTTTTCCCCTCAAAGGTAAAAGAAAGGGTGCCCCCGATTTATTATTTTTTTCTCTCTTGCTCACAGACCACGATTCATTCATGAATGACAGGAGATGACGAAGGATTTGTTGTTGTTTTCTACCCACATAAATCTCTCCGTCGTGAAACGGACCAACTTTCTCGTGTAAATTGAATAAACACGTACATCCATCCGAAGGGAGCAGTAGTAGTGGGAAATAACCAACCAACCAAGAACTACATGCACGTATATAATCTCTACCACCACGGGTTCAGTTCGGTTGGGACGGACGTATAGGAAGCAGCAGGAGAAGAAACTTGCAAACAAGATAAAAAGAGACAGCAGAAAAAGCGAGAGCAAAGTGCCAACAACTTTCTCCGACGGGACAGGCTGAGGCTGGGCATGGAAAAGTTTTGGATTCTTTTTTCCCTTCCACCTTTCTCTCTCACTTTGAGATAAAGATTCTCCCGAAATGCGTACAAATAATAAAAAATGGGGGAGAAAAGAGGGGGGTAAATATTAGGTGGAAATTGTCCTAACAATTTCGGAAATGTTACATCAGGACAAAATTTGATTTCCCAGAATCTCTACAATTATCAACTGCCTCATCCACGCAACAAAACCAATAATGCGCCCCACATCCAATTCGCTCGGAATCAAATTAAACCAAACTAAAGGATCGAGGCGAACGAGAGTCATCCACTCTACACGTAATTGCTTTCACTTTCACCACGCACTTGTGATCGTGTGGTCAAAATCATGGCTTACGCTTTCCCTGCACAAACTACTGCACATCGCTCCTCTTCAACTCTTGGGGCCAGTCAAGTGGGCAACTTGTGCGATGTGCTGAGTGAGTCGTGTCAGCAGTCAGTCAGTGTATTTACATCATTCATTCATTCATTCATTGAACCCATTACGAAGGATTGATGGATCGCGGAAAGTGTGTGGGGTACTTGTCCTGCTCTTGAAGGATTTTAAAATTTTGAAAATTTTCCCTGACTTTGGATCCTAAAAATTAATCTCTTCGTCATCATCGTTAGCACGCTCACCACACTTGCTCACCCACCCACCCACACACCTACTCATGCACCAAAATCCGTCAGTTAGCCATTCATTCCTCTCCGTTTTCACTTTAACCCTTCAGGCCTTGAGAGACATCTGTGCTCATGTGTTTTGCAGAGGAAAAGTTTTTAAAACCCATTAAAAGTTACCTAATGGCGGATGCAGCTGTGGCTCCACTTCCACCTCGATGACCCAGTCGGTCCAACGCCTCCTTCACCAACTCTTCCTGCAATTCATCAAAATCAAGATCAGAAATTGTTTACATATATTTCACAGTTTAATTTTTTCCATAAACTACTCTGCCCCGCCGCCTCATAACTAATGCAAATAAATGCGCCGAGTTTTTCGATAACCGTACATAACTCGACACGATAACAACACGTCCACCAGACCACATCCACGACGGATGGAAAATAAGTATGTACAGCAAGATAAACAATCCGTGTATGTACCCATTTAAACCCGGGCGGAATCCATGGATGCGCAAATCCACTCGACTTAACCCTTCACCTCACCTCGAGGAGGATGAGGTCGTACCATCGACGGCTCTGACTTCATTGTATCCTTGTAAAATCAAATCAGGTAAATATTAACAGAGTCGAAGAGTTTAGAGTGAGCACTATCACTCTCCTTCGTCTCGGCTCTCTGATAATGGACCGTATAATGGTGTGTCAACAAGCACTTTTTTATCCAGACCCCCACCCACTCGCACACACACACACCACGTCCTGTTATCCAAGATCCTTCCTCGCCACTCCGGGATTCTTGGTTATCTCGAAAAAAATAAACTTATGCTAATTATTATTTAAAAGTTAAACAATCTCTCACACTCACAGCAGCAGGTCTCACTTATTGCCATCATCGTGATTCATGAGGCGGAGAAAGTGGAGAAAAAGTCGGGCGGACGTGGCAGAAGCGGAAAATGCGAGGAAAGAAGAAAATTCGTCTAAACCGTGTGCAAATATGTACACAAAAATTTTTATGTGGGAGAAAAACGATGATGAATCTGATGATGGGTATTCAATCCGGAGTAAACGAGGTGGAACGAGAGGGAATAAAAGCTGGAAAAAGTATATATTTGTACAATGGGAACATATATTGTATGATTTTAGGAAATTTTGCTCCAATTTTTTATTTCTGTCAAATTTCAAAATCACTCCTTCCTACACAAGAATTTGCAATTTGTATTTTCCAATCATTTTGACTTTGCTACTAATCAAGTCAAAGACGTCGACCCAGTTGTGCATCCATTCGGTAAACTTGTTAATTTAATAAGTATAATCAAATTAGAAGGAAGACAAGCCAAAGACCGAGAAGTTCAAAATATGACCGAGAGTCCTCGGTTATTTAACAAACTCTTATCAAGCATGACAATCAATGATTGACTAATATTTGCATTCTTTATTAGTATTGCATTCCAATCTAGACAGGTCGAAATTAGAATCTTCGTCGCAACCCTTGTCATTTACTTTCTCAAATTATGCAATCTAATTCGATCTCTGCCAAAGTTTGTTATTTGTTGCTTGGTCCGTTCATCCATCCATTTATAGCGCTCCCTCCTTCCCCCTTCTGCCACCAAGGTATTAAAAGTTGCTTTGCCACTCTGCTGCATTTGATCAACATTCCGTTCCAAGTTCTCTCCAAGAAAACAAAGGTTTGGTTTATCCCTCGTTGGAGGAGAAGGAGGCAAACCATGACATGTCGGATATCTCCGCTTATTGCGGTCTGATCGCAGTCATACGAAGTTGGTTGGTCGGTCTGCTATTTCAAAGTGGTGGTCGTGCCCAAGAAGACTTACTTGATCCAATGCAAATCTAATCAATAGAACATTTCAAAAATGGAAATCCTTTTACTGACAGCTCAGCCCTCGATCTTTCCTTCTTCCATTCTGGTCTTTTGCCCTTGGCCGACCCACATCCACCCACCCATCCATTTCGTAGTCGCCCGTTCGGATGGATGGGTAGAGAGGTGGCCAGGCTGCGTAATCCTGGCAAAAGGGATTAGTTTCCCTGCCAAACCAGCCAATTCACGGATGGGTGTGCGTGTCTTAAAACAGGACAAGTTCCGTCGGACGTGTTTACATGTCAAAAACCAAGGGGAAAAATTTAGCATTGTTAAAAATCGGGGCCAAATTATGTCCGTTATGCATCACCTCATACGCTGGATATACGTATTTACACAGGATGTCGGCACTAGTGGATGGTGGGGGGAAAGCAGGACGGATTTATTTTTGGCGATGACAGGAGCAAGCACTGTGTAGCTCACACATCTTGTCTCCATCGAAAGATCACATCGGACTCTTTGATCTGTTTTACTTTCACACGACGGGACCATTCTTCCTGGTTTTCTCCTCCTCCTGCTCTTGACTTACTTCTCTCTCCAACTTAACTTACTGACTTTCAAATTCCATACTCAAAAAAGTAATAGAAAACGGGGCTGCAGATGCTGCTAACTTTTCTCATTCAAGTAACCTTACACAAGAACAAGGAAGGAATGAAAAGGGGCCACAGCATACATAAATTGTAATGAATACAAGCACGTGGTGGTGGTTGGTTGGTCGCCTAGCCCAATCTGCCAGCGTGGTGGTCAAATAACTCAAATGTTCCGTGTTTCCTTGTTTAACAAGGAAAGAAGACCGAAAATCTGGTCCGTTTCAAGTTAGAATTCTGTCCAATTTCTCGTCCGAGTGGGATTTATTTAGCCAACACCCTGCCTCATTTTTTTGCACTTTCCTCGCCTCAAGAATAGCAGTGGTTGGAGGAGTGGAAGTGTGTGTAGCAGCGAGTTAGTCGGACTTGGAGTCAGTAGACCGAGAGATGAAATATTTTCAGCGTGTAGTGACACGACAGACAAAGGCCGAGCAGAAAGACATAGCTCCAGCAGAAAAGGAAAGCAAAGTGAGGTACGACAAACTAGACACCTTTCACCACCACCACCTCCATCCAACACCAGGGGGGAAATAAGGCAAGATTTGCGCCCCTCATTCATCCCACTTTTGGTCGGGAGTAAAATTGTGTAAAAATGAAATATTTACAACTATGCGAAAATTCCTCTCATTCCGTTTTTCCAGTTTTTTTACCGGGTAAAAATAGTTGCGGGGAGGAATGAATAAATAAGTAATCGTGTCCACTTCTCATGTTTTTTACGCAGACAATCCAACTAATCGATACCAGATTTCCATGTCATGTCAGGTTTGTATCACTTGTACACTCACACACATTTCTTTTTTGTTGTTCCTGCTGAAAATGTAGTTAACTCTTTTGCTGAAGTGGGAACGAGATATTATGCAAGGAAAGCATTATTATTTTTTCTCCCCCGTTTGATTTACAACACATCCATCCATAGCACGACATGACTATAAAAAAGTTTTATTTTTTTGTCACGGAATTCCCTATCCGTCCAATCAATGGAATGCATGGGGAAATTGTAGCCTCACATTCTTGTCGGTGGGTGAGAATAGCTTTTATTGATTACGATAAAATGCAGAAAGTAAAGTAAAGTCGAGTATAAAATTCCTTAGTGATTATTCTCTAAAGATATAAATAGCTACTTAACACATGTTGTGCACTATGAGTGCTATTTATTAGTGAGCTCTTGATGGGTATAAGATTCGCATCGGTGGTAGTTTTGCTGATGGGGAATCGACACTCATCTAGTCGGATTGCGTACATGCAAGCTAATCGATACGTTGGAATCATTGTGACAAGTTTTTGTGCCATCACGAAGAAAGCTTGGATGTCACAAGGATAGAATGAGAGTTTTTCCGTTGGAACCAGGCACACAAACCAAACAATGACAATAGCAACGTATATCGTGTACCTCACCCAAACTGCAACAGAGATGGTAATAAAACCAGAGTTGTATAATGTTTAGGGCTATCTAAACTCACGGGAAAAGCGAAACTCAGTAATTTAAGGAATCATTCACACCATTTAATTAGCAATTAACTGTAAGTCATAAAAACCAACATTGTCATATGACCCACATCTAGCACTTGCCATTTATTCTAATCTACCCATACATATGCATACATGTAACCCCAAAGGTCACTCATGTTCAACAGATTTCTCTTGCCATCGTTCCCCCCACGTGACGCTCTCAACCTTGTCCATCCAACCCAGATTCCCGTCCTTACGCAGCCCTAATAAGTTCTAGATTCAGTTTTTTGTTCCTGTCCCAAGAACTTTTAAGAAATTTTGAACTGCTTTCGCCCTCTTTTTTTATTATATTTTCTCTCACTCACTCACCCACTCGCTGACTCACTCACTTGCAGAATCACACAGTAGAAACGGAAGCGGAACCCCCTTGTTCCCTCACTTACGCTTTCACTCTCTATTCATACGGGGAGGGAGGCAGGAACGGATGCACTTAACCTTTCTCCGTGGTGAAAGCGATTTTTCTAAGTGAATAAGTGCCCCATTTCCTCCACCCTATTTCCAAATTTACTCGCTTTTCTTATCCTCCCATCCCCACCAGCGCTACAGCCGCATGCACACCCATATGCACACAGATACCTCTCTGCCAGGCCACACCCAGGCTAAAAATTAGTCCACTTCTTCACGACGGAGCACCTTTAATTGATTGGAGAAGGGAAAAAAATCTGCAAAGTGGGACTTTAAAACTTATTGCGTAGTGTAAGGAAGGAAGGAAATGATACGCATCCACGCCACGTCAGGTGATGATGGGTCCCATTGTTACGTGAGGACATTCATTTTCATCCCGTACGTATGTACCCATTGTGCTTTATTCTCTCTTCGTATTTTGTTAAGTGAATTGGCACTAAATGTAAATAATGGAGGATGTAATGGGGAAAATGCCACCATTAGATTTACATGTCCCATGAATCTTGTACTTGCCCCTTTATCCAAATCTCAACAGGGGACCTCACAATTTCCCCAGCACAATAGAATGGAACAAAGCGGGACAAATATATACTTCATCTCCTCGTTTTTCCGTCGTCTCTTTGTGTCAACGAGAGATTTTCTCTGGGGGTTATGAGTCCTCGTTTCCACGGAGTGTGTCTTCTCAATATTTACTACTCGCAACGCCAATATGTTAACACTACTTCATAAATTGGAGGGGGAGAGAGCAAAATGGTTCATATCCTGCACCATCGAGAGGATGATTGGCTGTATTCATGACAGATCCTCGCTCGTAATGTACTTCCTTAGAGAGGACAATTCCCAGTGAAATAACTCGAGGCGACGAAATCTGATACGAAATGGA